GGCATCAGAAGTACTTGCAGAGGCTGAGCAACACATTACATTATCACTCTCATGTTTTTCAACATCTTGTGCCCCCCTTTTTAAGGTAAAAGATGCATATGACTCGAAACCCGGTGGAACTGATGGAATATCATCATTCTCTTCTTTAAAACAAACTCTCATAAGTTCTGTCCCCATTGGTAGTGCTACACAAGATAATGGATGAAACTTCAAACATTACAGTCTGTATCTGGAACAGAAAACAGTTGAATACAAAACAGTCCTACCTTAAAAATTAAAGAATCAATTCAGCAGCCCAACTCAGGGTACCTAATTTGACATCCTAACTATAATTCTGAACAGCTTTAAAAAGGAACTTTATCTGCACAGAAATACAAAGCAATTAAAAAAATAAATAGACAAACATAATCCAAAAACTTCATTTGCATTCAAAATCAAGTCATTATATTCTTAGAAGATCAGCATAAATTATGTCAACATCGCAATAATTGTTACACTGATTTCAGGTTTTACTCAAACAACCACAATTCAGTACTTAGATAAGAAGATATGAGAATGGTAAGAAACAAGGATGACTACATTCCAGCATATGGTTCTGACAATTGTGTATGATAATTGATAAGCCATTTTCTGACTTATCCTCAGCAGATTAAACAATTCATGCTTTAGCCTTAATCCCCAAATCCTAGAATACTGCTACAAATAATAGCTGAAACAAAAATACAAACACAATTCTGTAACTAAACCAACTTAAGTTATCCAAGAGCCATAAGATGCATTCGATAAAACTCCTTCCCAAATTACTAACATAACATAATTAGGTGAATCAACAAGACTTATGCCTTCTCATTCTTGATAGAGTTGATTAAAACTCAGGAAGTGATGACGCGGTTGAAATCTAATGATTTCAGTTCCTTCAAAATTATGAACCCTTAAATTAGCAGCTATGCAATCAAATTTCTGAAAACATTGGTTCTAGAAAGTTCCATCTAACAGGAAAGTAACACCATTGCAGGGCATTCTTGGATCATATAATTTCATCAACAAAAACAATGAATTGTAACTTTTGGGAATTAAAATGCAACATATAAAATTGAACATCATCTTCATCAACATATTTTTCAGTTTTATTTTTCTTGATAGAAAATGAAATCATGATAACCAAACAGAAATTTACTAAATAAAATTGTAGTTAAATCCAAGATTTAACTCATGCATTACTTTCCCTATTAAATGAGTTTGATTAAATAATCCTAAACCCTAAAAGATCATTATCAAATAATTTGATTGAGAGAATTTTCAGAACAAAATCAATAATTAAAAAATAAAATAAAATCTCATAAAATTCTAATTTCCTATTTTGTCATCAGCATCATCAGACAAAAAACAAATTGCAAGCCAGAAAGATCCAAAAAAAATACATAAATTAAAAAGTCAAGAAAAAATTTGAGCTTACATGTTGATCCAAAAGATTTCTGTAATTTGACTTCAATCAAAGCAGCTGAAAAAGCCCCTTTTGACTACACCAGTTTTTCAGGGCAAAATAAAAAAATAAAAAAATCAGTAAAAATTTCTAATTTCAAAGCACGATAAAATAAATATTATGAAGTAAAACAAATGAAAACGTTGAACCAGATTTTAAACAGATCTAAACCTAACCCTAACCCTAAACCTAAAACTCCAAATGGTACCACAAGAAAAAAAAAAAACAAATTCAACAGGAAAAGAGATTACTATTTTTATGATGATGATGATAATAATAATAATAATAGTAATAATTTTCTAAATTTTGGTGCTTTTCAAGGGTACCTTCAAAAGAAATCAGAACAAAGAAAGAACAATTCCAAAAAAAAAAAAAAAATAGAGGAAGGAAGCTGATGAGGGTAAATATGGAAGATTAATTAATTCATCATTACTTCTGGAAATAACAGAATTTCATCAAAGTTGGAAAAAGTGAAAATTTTTTTAATGTACCTTTTTTTTTCAATTAAGGGGCGTTTGGTCCAACAAATTTGTTTGGGTTCTATGTTTGTTGTGTTTTTATGAAGCAATTGACAGCATATAAGTTATAAAAAGAAGTTTTTTTTTTACTAAAAAATTAAGTACGATAAGGTGAAAATTTCTTAATTAATGGAGGATCGGGTGATTAATTAAGGTTAATGAAGTTTTTTTTTGGGGGGGGGGGGTTTTAGTAAAAAAAATTAAAAAAGGGAAGAAAAAATAATAATTTTTCAATTATTTATCTTACCTGTGGGCTGTTTTTCTACGGGCGCCTTGTTGGGATGAATGAGACGAAGTTTCCTCTTTTTCTTGAAGGACTGGCGCCGACTATGGCATGGACTATGGACCGACCATCCTTTATAAGTGAATTTATTTTTATTTATGGACTGAATTTTAATTTTTTAGAAAAATTAATAAAAAAAGTTAATATTTAAAATTTAAAAGTATCTTGCTTAATAAAAAAATTTATAATGAAATTAATTTATCCGAATAATTATTTATAAATTACATATCAAATATAATTGGATGAAAATATTCGGTTAATTCAATTTTTTAAAAATTAAAAAATTAAATTAAATAACCGATTAAGTCAAAGCAAATTAAAATAACTAACCACTTTTAATTTTATTGATTTTTAACAAAAATAAGAGAGTTAACATAAATTTGTCACTTGCACTAATGAAACTTTCTTTGAATTATTTTAATTATTAATTTTTATCTTAATTGTTAATAATAAATTTATGTAAATATCAAAGATTGCACTTAAGTATATTTGGTTAACTAGTATTAATACATGTATTCTCGTTTCAAAAACTAATTAGATTTAAATAAGTTGTCGTGGATTAAATTTAATAATCAATCATTTTAATACTTATAAAAATTTGCTAAATTTTTTTTTTAAAAAATATATTTATTCATACTTAAGAAGATATAAACATGTAATTAAAAAGTATCTTTATTAAATAATATAATTTTACATGATTAATTAGTACCATAATAATGCATTTAATTTTTAAATTTTTTTCTTTTCGAAAATTTAATTCCAATTCTCAATTAAAATTTTTTATGTTTTAAAATGGTTAAGATTCGTTTTTTTTTTTTTCTTTTAAAGTTCCTTTCATTCATACATATAATGTTTTGACCTAATTTATGTGATCCACATAAATTTTGTTTGGTATGCCTGGAATGTAGAATAAATCACGTGCAACATGCATACCTTGCAGTTGTTGTCATTCACATTATTGAAACGGTCCATTGAAAAATCCTGTATACATATTATTAATATTGTTCACATTATTTAACAAATTAAAAAAAAAAAAAAAAAAAGCATACCGCGTTGACAATTTCTATCGAGAATTTCGTGAGAATGCCTCATTTTCTTTCTTTATTTTGATTTTTTATTTCTTTACATTTTTTTTTACTATACTTGCTATTTCTTTTTTTCCCTCACTTTCGTCAAAACGTAGGTAAAAGTTGTAAACTTGTTAATTTGAATTTCAGAATTACGAGTCAACAAAAGCCTTTGAATTCTTTAATGCGTTGGTTCGTAGAGTTAGATTGTTACCTAATTATCATAGGAGATGAACCACCCCAAATTAAGTAATCTGCCTTGAAAAATGGATTTAAATGAATGTTTGGGTTTTAATAAATGGTTTAGGGTACACTAATATTTAACATTAGTCGAATAAATAAAAATGTTTATCGGTAATATTAAGAATAATGTATTGATGGTATTAATAATAATGTAATTATATATATTTTTTAAATATAAAATTTATCGTAGACAATTGTATTAATATAACGATATATTATATCAATTATTTGTTTACGATATCAATCTTTATATAAGTAAATACCCTAAAAAAATTTAGGAACGCAAGGTTTCTTAATGACATCAATACCCTATTATTAATTTGGGTTAAGTATAAATTAATTAGTGTGCTTAATTAAATGTCAAGTGTCTTTACGAGTTAAATGGGTTGCAAGACGTTGATCGTAGGGTTTGCAAATAATTAGGTTTATGAATACTATTAACTAATATTTATATTTTTTTATTTTAAATTATATGAGTCAAATTATTTTTTAACTTAATCACTGTATTCATAATATAATTAGTTATAGATAAGTGTATTTCGTATTTCATATCATTTAAGTTTGATATTTTAAAATTAAATTCATACCTACCGTTAAGTAGTATAAATAACTATGAATCAAACTCAAATTGTATGAGTTTAACTATTTATGAATTTAACCATTCATAAATTTATGGTATCCATAAACTTCATTAATTATGAATAAATTAGGTTCATAGGAGGCTGTAATTAAGAAATATAAAAAATAATTATAGATATTAAAATTTGAATATTAAATTCGTTAGATGTCACTTATTAAGAGTTATTACATGAATAAATTAACTTAAGTTCGATATTCAATATAATTTAAGTTTAATATATATATTGAATAGTAATTTATTTTATGTTTTAGTAGGTTGTAAAAAAATAAGTTATTGGTTTCGTATCATTAGAAATTAAGTTTTAATTTTTAACTATATATGAATGTAGAATTGAATGAATTTATTATTTTGTTCATATTAAATATTATTTTATAAATATCTATTATTTATTTATACCGAATAAAATTATGATTTAAAGGAAATCGAATAGAGATATGATATTTTACTAAAGATACATAAACATAAAACAAAAATGAGATTTTAAGAAAAAAATTACTTGTGATTTATATATGCACATAAAATAAATAAAAATATTTTATTTTAAAATGTGTTTGACACACTACTTAAAAATTCCTACTTTCTCGTTCACACTATTAATTGGTAAGAATCATAATTGAAAATAGTACATGACTATGACATAAATTCCTTCATAAAATGTGTAAGTTTATGATCGGGCATGGACCTTCCAAAGCCCGGATTAAGTTCCCATCGGCCCGGAGCCCTAGCCCATTTAGACCCCTTACTCGAGAGAAATTGATCAAAGCATTGCTTACCTTTCTTCACCTTAAAACGACGGCGTTTAAATTGAGAACCATCCTCTTCCGAATCAACGCACTCAAGAAATCCCGAAAATTTCCTTCGTCTCAAGCACTCCCCCTTTTAAAAACCCAAAATCTTTATTTCAACCATGTCGATTCCACCCTCCTCCGCAACAACTCCTTCTTCCTCATCATCTTCTCAATTCACCTACCAAACGACAACGAACTCATCGTATTTTCCGTTGCCGTTTCATCTCCAGCAAAAGGCCCAACCTTATGCCCCCCTGGCCCAACCGGTTCCGGTCGCCCCTGCTCCTGTTTACCCCGCGCCGGTCGCCCCTGTCCCCGGCGCCTATTCTCTCCCTCAATATCAACAGGTCAGCAGAACAATAAATTATAAACATAATTTTTTGTAAATTTTTTATTGATGTAATTTAGGGTTTATTTTGGGTTTAATTTTTTTTTCCCTAGGTTTTGGAGGAATTTGGAAAATTTTCTGGGTGATTTGGAATTAAAAATTCGAAAAGAACAAAAAATTGCGTTGGAGAGAATAAAAATAGAAAATTTAACAAAGGTGGCAACCGAGGGAATCTTTTTGTTTGTTGGGTTTTTCCCCTTTTAATTTTATTTTAGAGCTGTGAGTTCAATTACACACTTCATCACTGTAATTTGTTGTAGTATATTTGAACAGGCTCAACAGTTATTTCAAAGGGATGCTCAGATAGTTACCCCTGAAGCACTAGAGAGCGTAAAGGCCGCCCTTGCAAGCAGTGAGATTGAGCACAAGGCAGAAACTAAAAAGAAAGCCATCCCACGTAAAGCTGCTGGTCAGTCGTGGGAGGATCCAACGCTTGCGGAATGGCCTGAAAGTATGAACTAATCTAACTGTCATATTTATTTTTGATTTCTCTATGTGTGTTTTACAAGTGGCTTTCTTATTTTTGTTGGTAATCTGCAGATGACTTTCGCCTATTTTGTGGTGATCTTGGTAATGAGGTGAATGATGATGTTCTTTCAAAAGCTTTTGCGCGATTTCCTTCATTTAACATGGCCAGAGTAAGTTTTTAATTTACTTGATTTTGTTTGTTTTCTTTTTAATAGCAGTTTTTTCCTGGGGCTATCAACTCTTTGCATTTCCTCTTCCGATTTTTGTATGAAGCGCACAGAGCAGTTATATGTTTATGTGTTTAAGCCTCTTAAGGTGGGTTTTGCTTTAGGTTTCCAAATGAATGGAATAATCCTTTTATTTCATTAGTATTCTTTAATCTTGTCAAAATTATGGAGATCAATACTATATGTTGACGGCTGGAAATGACTTACAGAGATTGAGTATGGTATATTTGACTTGAACTTATTGATTAGCTTAAGCCACAGCAAGCTGATTGATTTTGAACATGTCTGAGTAAGGTCAGTCAACCTATTAAACTATTTAATTTGGTCGCCTCCCTTTTGTTTAGCCTTAAAGTGGGGAAACGGGGAGTGCATGGTATTCTCTTCTCTGTTACTGTTTATTGTATGACATTGAACTTGAGAGAGAGGTATGCCACTATCAGTTTACTAACTGTCAACTTTCCGACAATGTTGAACCACTTGTGCTCTAACTGGTTTTCTGACTTGAGTATTGTGGCACATTTCCTTCGTAAACTTACATCTGCACGGTATTGGGAATTTTCAGTATCACCTATACTTTGTGGGATCTTAATCATGTTAACAAGAAGAGTGATAATGTTCAGATTTGTTATGTTGATTGTGTTGTTAGTTTGGGATGAGTTTTTGGCACTTGAGCACTATGCTAGGACACTATACTAGGATAATTTAACTGATCTTTGGGTTTATTTGTTTGATACTCAACCATTACCTTGGCAGTTTCTTCTGTTCCTGTTGTCATGCTTGTGGTTGTATGTTGGTATTCTGTCTTTTCTCTAAAAGAAATCCATGAGGGATTCATGATTATTTGATAACTAAGAATCTTTTTTATGCATATATCGTTTTCCTAGCAGGTTGTTAGAGATAAACGGACTGGCAAAACGAAGGGCTATGGGTTTGTTAGCTTTGCTAACCCTTCTGACCTTGCGGCTGCACTGAAGGAGATGAATGGTGAGTGCTTCTATAATCCTTGGCCAATTTTCGACAACGTTTTTTGTTTGTACCATAATAGTGTACACTTTTGGGATGATGTGTTGTAGGTAAATACGTTGGAAATAGACCAATCAAGCTTCGCAAGAGTAACTGGAAGGAGAGGATAGATCAAGATGCCCTTGGGAGACAAAAGGTATATGCTTCCCCTCGTTTTCTGTCAAAAATTTTCTCTCGGTGTCATTTTTAACTTTGGATATCTGTTTGTTAAATTCATTGGCAGAACCAAAATCACAAAAAGCCAAAGCCACAAAAGAAAGGGATATTTCACAAGTGAGCAGCCGACCAAGCCTATAGCCTTCCTCCTCTCGGACCACCAATTGACTCTGTATGATTGCACCGTAAAGTGCTAGTAATTTCTTAAGGCTAAAGTTGGGTGGTCGTAGGATATTTAAAACCTTTAAGAAAATTGAGTATACAAGCCTCACAAAGCTTATTTTCTGCGTCAAGTATCTTGTTCTTTTTTCATTTTCCCCTTTATTGTTGATGTTGTGTTTGGGGCAAGAATTTTCTCACATTTGATTTTGTTGGTTCAATCAGATGCAATGAAAGTATTTCCCCAGAATTTTGCATCCAATCAAAACAAAAAATTTTACAGGCAGGTTTTCCTTAGCTTTAGCTAATTTTCATGGTTTAGCATTGCGGAGCTATATATATATATATATATATATAATTTCTTTCACCAAGCATAGGAATATTAAAAAAAAAATTATCAAGAAAAACTTATATATTTTAATAAAAAAAAAATCTATCTTTTCAAATAATGTATAATCGATCACTTGAGAGGATCAGATTCCAAAATTGCCTCCAATTGACTCAACGGACCCATTGCTTTTTGTCTCATTCAACAAGTCTTGGTTCATTTTCTCGATTTTCTAGTTCCACCGTTTAGGTACCAGGAAAATTAAAGAAAGAAAAGAAACAAATAAAAAGTGACACCTAATTGAAAAAAAAAAAAACCCGATTGTTTATATTTAAAAAAATTAAAGCTGGTCCACGTGCTGGTCACATGCCTGCTATAGCCGTCTTCTTAACCGTGCACAATGCAAAGGAAATTGAGAGCCAGAGAGGAGAGAGAAGAAGAAGAGAAATCACAAGAGAAAAAAAATAAAAATGGAAAAAAAGAACTTTTTTCCTTGAGAGAAATCACAGAAAAATTCCTCTTCTTCTTCTTTATTGAAATCATCCTTTTCTTTCTCTCTCTCTCTCTCTATATATATAGATATCTCATTTTCCCGCTTTCTTTCCCTTCCTTCAGTCGATAATCTTCTTGTTTTTATTCCTTTTTATTGGAATTTTCCACGAAAAGTATTCACATTTTTGTTTTTCACTTTTATTCACCAATGTGGCTCATCGATCCAATAATTTCCGCCTTTTATTTCTCCTATTCTGAGCCGATTCTGTCATAAAATTCTTTGATTGTAATTTTTATTTTAATTTTTATTAATTTTTGGTGAATAATCAATAGAATTGATAATGGATCGTATTGTCGGTGAAAAATTCAAAATGGGTCGAAAGATCGGAGCTGGATCTTTCGGCGAGCTTTTCCTCGGTAAATCTCTTTCTCTTCCTTTTCTCTTTTCATTTTTTACCTTTTACAGTAATTAATCCGATTTAAGTGTGGTAATTTTTTTGATAGGGGTCAATATCCAAACAGGGGAAGAAGTTGCTATAAAGATGGTATGAGCCTTATTTTTTGGGAATTAAAGTTTAGTATATTCCATTAATTTTTTTAGTGATTTACTTGTTTTATATATTGGTGCATGATATATATGAAACTTTTAGGGATTAGTTTTAAATTTTTTACCTTTGAATTAAGGCGTAGTCGAGTTCAGCTTGTTGTATTTGCAATATCAATGGAATCAGTAGGTGTTTGAATGTTTTATGTGTGAAAATTCCGAAACGTTCGAAAATGGAACTGCATTGAGATTTGTTGCTTCATAGAAGCACGTTAGATATTGCGACAATGCCATGCATTCTAGAATCAAAAGCACCACTGAAATGTTATGTGAAGTAAATTTAGAGTGTTTCTACTGATCCCTATTGATCACCTAGGATCTTTTTTTACCCTAAATCTTCAGGAACCTGTGCAGACCAAGCACCCTCAGCTTCACTACGAGTCAAAGTTGTACATGCTTCTTCAAGGCGGAAGTAAGGTTTTGTTATTTTGCTTTGCTGGTTATTTATTTTAATAATTATAGTGAATTGTGAAGAAAGGAACTTGCTATGAAATAAATTAGCTAAAGTTCATTTTTTTTCTGTTTATTGTTTTTGTTGAAGCGGGGGTTCCCCACCTAAAGTGGTTTGGAGTTGAGGGTGACTACAGTATTATGGTTATTGAGCTTCTAGGGCCTAGCCTCGAGGACTTGTTCAACTACTGCAATAGAAAGCTTTCTTTGAAGACGGTGTTAATGCTCGCAGATCAGTTAGTATGTTAACCTGTCTTACTGGAGAAATTGTTTTTCTTCCTATGTTAGCATCAAAGGTGATGAGTTCTTTTATTTCTGTTATCCTTTAGATTAACAGAGTTGAATATATGCACTCAAGGGGATTTCTTCACCGTGATATCAAACCTGACAACTTTCTAATGGGTTTGGGACGAAAAGCAAATCAGGTACTTGAGCTAATGCAATGCTTTCACTTTCTAGTTAGATAGTGGAGTGCACTCTTTTGAAATGTTATCATATTTCATTGTTGGTGGCAATAGAAAAAGGTAGAAATTGTGAAAGTGAAATTTATTATTTTATATCTTGCTAAAACCAATATGTAGTTCTTAAGATTATCTTATTCAGTTGGCTCATCACTTGAAAGACTTTATGCTTATACTTTTAGCAGTTAATAGTTTCAGGATACAATAAGAGAGTTTGAAAAAGAAAATTACTGTGTTTTCAGAGAAAAGTTAATTCTCTTTTGCGTACAATGTGAGCTTCAATATCTGAAATGTACCATGCTTATGAGAAGTTTAAAGAGAGGATACATCTTTAAGATCTTGTATTGTGGATGCATTGATGCGATTTCTTCCATGATGCTTTCCCATAAGCATTTTTGCATATTAAATATGTTGCAATTATTTAATTCGATGAAGAGTGAATTTAGGATATTGAAATAACATTTGGGAAAGTAAAGTTTTATCCTGACATCCTTTTATAGGCTTTTAAAATTGTCTTTCCTTGAGTTGAGCCTATATGTCAGTTATCAATTACATATTGAAGTTTGTTTCAATTTCTCTTGCCTGTATCAATAGTTGATAAATTGCAGGTTGCCATACTGGTATATCCCAAAAATTATTGCAGCTGTAGTTACTTGGTACGAGGGGCCACTACTAAAAGTATTGACTTGCTACTAACCATTGCATTGATTTTGTAACAGGTGTATATCATCGATTATGGCCTTGCTAAAAAGTATAGGGATCTTCAAACTCATAAACACATACCTTATAGGTATGCATGTGCCATTTGTTTCTTAATAGTGGCAAAATGAGTTCCGTTTTCTTGCAGTTCCATTTATCTCCTATATTTATCAGTTCTATGTATAATGTTTTCTATCACTTGTGTTATTCGACCTGCTTTTGCTTACATACTAATCTAGAAAGTCATCACATTTTAGCAAGCATCTAGTATTAGTTTCAGTGGTTTATTTGAGTTGTTGTTTATCTACTTAGTCTTCATGTTCAAGATTTGCTTCAACTTCTGTGAATTTGCTATCTTCACAGAGAGAACAAGAATCTTACAGGCACTGCTCGATATGCAAGTGTAAACACTCACCTTGGAGTTGGTGGGTAAATTGCCACAGTAGTTATTTTGTTGTTCTCACTTATTTGCATTATACATGTTGTGCATTGTGTAATCTAATTGTTTCTCAATTCATGTGCAGAACAAAGCCGAAGAGACGATTTGGAATCAATTGGTTTTGTGCTCATGTATTTCTTACGAGGAAGGTTATAACAATATAAGCACTATTATTTTGTGTGTTCTAAGTTTGTTGATGTGAAAAATATTTCTCATTATCATATTGCTGGCATCAGCCTTCCCTGGCAGGGCCTAAAAGCAGGGACCAAAAAACAGAAGTATGATAAAATCAGTGAAAAGAAGATGCTAACTCCTGTTGAGGTATTTTTTAATTTCAACTTGTCATTTGCTTGCAGGATACTATGCTTATATTTTAATGCATGGTGCATTCATATTGAATTCTGAATATGCAATGCAAGGCAAGGCTGGTGCCGTTACACTGCCTCTACACTTCTTTTATTTATAACTAATTACATAAAATATGCAAATCCTACCATTAGGTACTCTGCAAGTCATATCCATCAGAGTTCATATCATACTTCCATTATTGTCGTTCATTACGCTTCCAAGACAAGCCAGATTATTCATACTTGAAGAGGCTTTTCCGTGACTTATTTATTCGAGAAGGTAAGAACCAAATGATTTTAGAGCCAAATGATTTTAGTTTCAAATTCGAAATACCTTTGTCATATCTCAGTTAATACTGGAAGTTAGGAGCTGTTTGTATCCTTCTTAATACCCCGAAAAAGTTTTTAAAATGTAATGAATAGCCCAGTCTGTGTAGGTCTCAACAAGAATTTTTAGTCTGTTACCATGCAAAGCATGACCATAATGCACATAAAATTTTGTGCATTATAGAGGAAGCAATTGGAAGGTGGGTTGCTCTGGAAAATTGATGACCTAGCTTTCTAATTTCTTCTGGTCATGTATAGGGTCATTTAAATGTATCACAAACTCTGCATAGATTGGTGGTTGCTGTGCCATAGTTGTTTGCACCCAAATATCGTATGTAACTCATACACCTTGAAAATGAATAAGGATTTTATAACCAACTATAGTGGACTATCAGGATGTATATTAGCTCCTGTCAAGATGCATTTGAAACATGTGGTAAACACAGTTTGCAATATGGATAACTGTATGCGGGCTCATTCTATTGCTAGCTGAAGTTAGTTTTCCTGCTTTCAAGATGTTGGAAAGCATGATATGCCTATAAAATCATGAGAAAACATCATTTGCAAATATTTCTTTGAAGGCTGGTGGAATGTACATGGCCTTTTTTGATTCCCGAGGTGGTTTCTTGGCAGGATATCAGTTTGACTATGTTTTTGACTGGACCATACTCAAGTATCCCCAGCTCACTGGTAGCTCTAGACAACGGGTCCGTGCTTGTCAATCTTGTGCTGTACATTCTTCTATCACAGATTATTCTTATTTACTTTCTTGCATCTTTTCAGCTGTCAAGTGGAAAAGCTGCTTTAAATGCTGGAGCATCTGCTGAAAGAACAGAGAAGCCATCAGGTTTGCTCAATTCTCCTGACAGGCTGTAGGGAGGGATACAATTTGTGTAATTAAAATGTTTGGACTTCTAAGGATGTATTTGAATTACTTGATTTTTGTAGTTCTCTAGAGTTCATACTTCTAGACACAATTCTCAATTGTAATTATGATGCTTGAGGATGGATGCTTAACCTCACCTTTTTAGACCAGGGTGATTTACCTAGTTTCTTGGATGTTTTTGTTTCCCTTTGTTTTAAGTGAATCTTAATGCTTTCATTTCTTACTTGTTTTGACTAGTGGAACAAGAAATTCGAGATAGATTTTCAGGTGCTGTTGAGATATTTACTAGGAAAAATGCTTCAGGCAATGGACATCTCAGCGATCGGTCCAAGCAGAAGATATCAGAGAAGGCATCACCATCAAAGGATGTGGTAGGCTTTGGCTGCCATAAATTTGTCGCTTTTACTCTAAGTTATTGTTTATTTGCCAATTCCTATATGGATCTTGTTCTACTTCATGGAATAAATTTTGATGCATCCATGTCTTTGACTATAACGAAGCATGTAGAGTTCATAATCAGTGCTCTAGAGTTCATCTTTTATTCTGAATTTCTCAATTTTTTTCCAGGATAATGATTCTGGAAGGGGGCGAACTTCTTCCGCCCGCCCTAGCAGCTTGTCCAAGAGGGCTGTTGCCTCGAGCAGCAGGCCAACCTCTTCTGTGGGGCCTAGTGATAGTCGATCAAGTTGGCTTCTTTCAGGTAGTAGTCGCCTCTCAGCAAGCCAGAGACTTCATTCTGGGTCCGAGCAGAGATCATCTCTCTCCCGAGCTACAACCTCCAAAGGTTTCCATGAAGATCATCAGAATCAGAGCTCAGAGCACCATTCAAGGGTCACAGATAAGAGGAAGGGATGAATGTTCCATTCGGTAAGAGATGGTTCTTCTTTTTGGGGCAATCCTCACATTCCCATTTCAATCAAAACGCATTTCTTACTAGCATTAATGGGTCTCATTGCAGCAAAATTCCACATTTTTCGATGGAAGTTCATATATGCTATGTTGTTGTAGAGTCATGAAGAGAAGGATACTAAGATTTGGGATCCAGGGCCTTTTTTATTTTTCTTTAGAAGAAAAAGGGTCCTCCCAATTTGTTAATATTTATTCGAGGTAAAGCTGTAATGGCAGATTGCTCCTGATCTATGTTCATACTTGTCTAAACAGATTTATTCCTTCTCATTCTTTGAATTAGTTGCTTCTATGATGCAATCTGCAAATGTAATTTGATTTTCTCCTACAGCTTTCCTTTCATTTCTCAGTTTCTTTAATTTTAAGAACAAAGGAATTGATGCAAAGATGGGTTAAATGCCGTTAAAGAAAGTGGCATTGAATTAAAAAAATAAATAAAAAGGGAACACTTAAAGATAGTAAAGATATTTTTATTTTAAAAAATATATTTGATTTTTTAACTAAAAATAAAAGCTTTAAATTAAAAATATAATTTTGTTAAAATACAAGATAAATTACATGAATGGTAACTAAGTTTTTACATAATTTAAATTTGTTTCAAATAGATCAAACTATATTAAATTTAACCATTGTAATAGATTTTATTTTATCAACTACAGCAATTTTTTCTCATATTGCAATCTCATATGTAAAAGAATATCGGATTCTTGGGCCGAATACTTTGCCTTTGTCCTCCAAAAGACTGGTTATATAATAAAAATAAAATGAAAATCACATCCAGAAAAATAGTATAGTTTTAAAAATATATACATGTAAACATTACTCACGCTCTTGGCACGTGATGAAGAGAGAAAATAATATAATAAATGTAGTTATTTTCAACACCACTTCCCCGCATGGCCACGTGGATCCATTTAACTATTTTATTTTTCACAAAAAATAATCAGTAAACCTTTTTCTTTTAATTTAGAAAAAAAAAAGCTTCTTTTTCCTTTTCTCTCTCTCTTTTTTTCTCAGATGTTACTCAAATCTCTGCAATTTCTTAGCTAATCTCCCTCTTGAATAGCATCGATCTGTCTTTCTTTCTCTGAAAAGTTATATCTCACTTTCTTTCGTTTTCTGTCCTCCCAATCACTCTCTTGCTAACGTATAAAAAAAGAAAAATAAGAAAATTTGTCTGGTTCCGTTCTCTGATTCCATGAAGATCTAGGGTTTCGAATGGCTTCTCAGCTGCAAATCGGAGTTTCTTATTCACATTTTTCAATTAATTATTAAAAATCAATTTCTAAGCGTAAATCTTTTTTTTTTTAATTTAATTTTTGGAAGCTGATTTTCGTTTGATTTGTGCGGAAACTTTGTTTGAGCTGTGTTTGGTTATGCGAAGACAAGGAAATGGAGACAGTTGTTGTTGGAGATATAGCGTGTTTGGATGCGGAGCTATTGCAGCTCCAGGAGATGTCTCCGTTAGCTCTCAAATCCTATCCTGAATTCACTCAAAAGCTTTTCGAACAGTGGCTTTCGCTTCCTGATGCTAACAAGCTGGTACTTTTCGTTTTCTATTTTGGAATCTCCACGCTGTTCGATTTGAATTGTTTTGTTTTGAGTCCTCGAATTGAAAATTCTTGATCGTTTGTGCCATTACATTGTTCCAATCAGTTCATTTCACTGATATTTGATGGTAATTGTTTTTAAAAAGTAAATTTATTTTTATGATATAAAAGTATATTTGATGCTGTATTATTTTGATTTTATTATATGTTTGAATTAGTTCATTGTGTATATGTGTATGTGAATTCCGTATTTAGAAAAGAAATTAAGGTATTTTAATGGATTGAATGGAAAGGAATGTTGTGACCTTCAATTGTTAATTTTCTCGACGTTATCCTATATTGCTTAAGTTCATAGTATGCTGTGCAAATTGATTTTAAGTTAGAAGCGTAACTGTCTTAACAATATCCCAGAATAGCTTTTGTCTAGTCTCGAATGATGATAAAACCAATATTGTCATGTATTTAAATATGGAATTTTCCCCCATTAGTGTCTTTGAAACAGAGCATATGGAATTCATATAATTTATTGAAATATTCCTCTAAGCCTATAAGTAGAGATGCACCATTGTCTAATTCTTGTTACTTTGCTAGGTGGCATCATTGGTTAATGATGCAAAGGCGGGTAATCCCTTGAATGTTCCTGGAAATGCTTCCAGTGGAAGTATTGCCACGAGCAATTCTTTACCTTCCATGTTTCCTGCTGGCAGTGCTCCTCCCCTTTCACCAAGAAGTACATCTGGTTCCCCTCGTATTACAAAACAAAGGGCTGGTCCTTCAAACTTGGGCTCTCCACTGAAAGTACTTAGTGAGCCAGTGAAAGAGTTGATACCTCAGGTTTGGATCATGTTTAATTGATATGATATTTTTCTTTCTCCATTGCCATTCTTGGTTGTGTTTTATCTGCATATTTACCTTTCTATTCTGAAGTTGGTGATAACTTGTTATATTGGTACTTGAAAATGGCTCCAGTTTTACTTTAAAAATGGCCGTCCACCTCCAAATGAACTAAAAGAACAATGCATGTTTCGAATCAGTCAGTTTTTTTGTGGCCACCCAGATGGGCTGCAACCGAATGGTAAGATACATGTAAGTATTGCTTTAACATATATATCTGGAATTCATCTGATATTCATGCTTTACTTTCTATATATATCAGAATTCAAACTAGTGACCAAGGAAATCTGCAAGCTGCCATCATTTTTCTCTACATCACTGTTCAGAAAAATTGATGTTAATAACACTGGTTTGATTACAAGGTATAGTTTCCTGTTCACAGAAGTGGAACAGCTATATTTGCATCTTAGATCCATCATATCCTTCGAACTGCTAGGATATTGCTTTGAAAATTATGAGAATTTTATATTTTGATTCCTTTCTGTTGTGAGGTGCTCTCCATGCTGGGCCTTGTTGGAGAACTACTCATTATAAATGCAAATTGCTGCTGATGGTGATAAACAGATGAAAATATTATCTTAGAATCTGACTCCTAATCTGTTACTGGTTCTCCTTTTAATTGTTTTTCAACTGTGATGTCATTTAGATAATTTTATATTGTAGCTTTTACTGAGTTTTCCTCTAATCTGCTCGCAGAGATGCATTTATTGATTATTGGGTCAATGGCAACATGTTGACAGTGGATATAGCAACCCAAATATATACAATATTAAAGCGATCAGATCTCAAATACCTCACTCAGGTCTTTATGCATTTTTGAGAGCTTAAATCCACTGCAATTTTGGTTGATAGTCTAATAGTCTATGGATAAACTTAAATTTCTTCTATACTTTCCAATTTGACAGGATGACTTCAAACCTGTACTCCGAGAACTATTGGCAACTCATCCAGGGTTGGAGTTCTTACAGAGTACACCTGAGTTTCAGGAAAGATACGGTTCGTTTTTTATCTGTTTGATACCTTTTGGCTGTTTTCTCAGTTCAATTGGATTTTTGGGATGCAAGACTTTTTCGCTTTCCGATATTTCCCTCTTTTACAATATCTAAGGCATTTGAACACTGATATTGAGTTGTTTCCAAACTGATTCCTTCATTAAAGATACTGGAACCACTAAAATCTGAACTCTCAAATCCTGTAAATGCATCTATTTTCATGTGAATTTCTATGAATGCAGTTCACCCTGTTTCTTTGATGAAGTAGTTCTGTCTCAATTGTGTTTGATAATGTATAGAGCTATGTTAAAAATTATGTAATAAAACAACAGTGGCATATTAATAAAGCAGGAATGCATGCCTATTATTTGATGAGCAAGTGTTGAAATTTGCACATCTTTCTGACAGAAACAAAAGGTGCGTAGAAAACATGATTCACATTCTTGTTTACTTTGTTGGCTGTCTTTAGTAAGAATGGTTGGCAGTATAACTCTCATTTTTGTCTCTGGTTTCAATGGCTTAGCGTCCATGTTCTAAAATGCCTATTTTTAGGGTGATGAATTCACACAAGAAATTATTATAAATACACCTTTTTAGTTTAATGAGAAGTAATCTTATGTTCTTCTGATTATATTAGAATGACTGATTGTTGACAATTTGATGAGTATATGAGAGGTTGCGATAGGAACATATTGTGTGACTGAAAATGAAACTTAAATATTTTACTAACTCATACATTACAGCTTATTGAATATTTGTCTTAACATGTTGCGGGTCCTTTCCCATTCTATATGATTTTTACTACCGCTCAAACAGTTAGTAAAAGTACTGCCTCTGTGCTTTTTAATTGTTTGCAAGCCTAGATTCTCCCCAGTGCTGCAGAATCTGATGTTGCTTGTTAACATTACTTTTGTTCACATGGCCAGCTGAAACTGTTATATACAGAATATATTACTACATAAATAGATCTGCGAATGGTCACCTCACTCTTAGGGAGTTAAAACGTGGAAACTTGATTGATGCCATGCTACATGCTGATGAGGAAGACGACATTAATAAAGTTTTGAGGTAGGGACTTGGCTTAAGTCTACTTGAATGCATAGAGTAGGAACTGATTTTTATATTTGCTTTCAAATTCCACAAAATCATGAATAAATTTGTATAATTGCTTTTTGATGCATGCGTTTTTTCTAAATTTTGATGCATGCTTAATAAATTCTGACTGATACCAATTATTTTGACATTTCAATCTCTCTCTCTCTCTCTCTCTTTCAATAAAATATGATCATATATACAGGTACTTTTCATATGAACATTTTTATGTAATATACTGCAAGTTTTGGGAGCTGGATACAGATCATGATTTCTTGATTGACGAAGAGAACCTTATCAGATATGGTAACCATGCGCTTACCTACCGGATTGTCGATAGGATATTTTCTCAGGTTTGTCCAAGTCAGATGATATTCTTGTTCCCTGGTGCAAACCATATTCTACCTGCAGAACGAAGTTTTGCATTTAATTGAACTTTGTCTTTTCCACTATTCTCTTCTATCACTTTTCTGTTTCATTGATTGATTGATTGATTTTCAAATTTTGAACTTTCATATCATCTTAGGTTCCAAGAAAGTTTACCAGTAAGGTTGAAGGAAAAATGGGGTATGAAGATTTTGTTTACTTTATCCTAGCAGAGGAGGACAAGTCATCTGAGCCTAGTCTTGAGTATTGGTATATTTTGTTCTCTTTCTCTGTAGACTCAAGGGTATTGTAGTGGATTTTGTGCACTGATTATCATTTTCAAAAAGCTCACCTCCTTCGCATTAAAATAAATACACTTTCGATTTTTCATATGAACTCACTTGTTTGAAAAAGTCTCCCCAAAATATTTGAAAATAGTTTGAAAAGATTTGTCAGAAGCTGCTGATTGAGAAATTAGTCTTGATCAAACTAAATTTAACTAAACAAAAAGAGGATGTAAAAGATTGATTTGTGGCATTATAAATATTGGCCTTAATATTTTCTGCATCTGCTTTCACCGGGTTAGAAATAGCAATGTGTTTTGAGGGGGTGGAGCTTTTGATCGCATTAAGATTGGATTGCTGAGTAATTTTTTATTCTTGGCTAGTTTTTTCCAATGTTATTATATTCTAAATCCTGTTTTCATACCTTTGTGCTCTCTTATGGAATACTTTAACATAATTTGGCTGGGTGGGAAATTATGCCATTACTAGCCAGTAATTGGGGCACTTTTTTTTTTTCCTTTGTAGGTTCAAGTGTGTAGATTTGGATGGCAATGGAGTTCTAACATGTAATGAAATGCAATTCTTTTATGAGGAGCAGTTGCATCGAATGGAATGCATGGCGCAAGAGCCTGTGCTCTTTGAGGACATCTTATGTCAGATAATTGACATGATTAAACCAGAGGTTTGCCATTTTATCATTGTTCCCCTTTTGTCTCCTTGCCTGTTTAGTAGGGTGTATATGGGATTGTGTTCATGGAAATGCATCATAAATCTCCTCTCTGCTAAGTTCTGCTTGTAATTTCAAACTTCAAGATCTGTGCTGGTATGATAATACAATTGTCTAGAAGACAGGTTTCTGGCAAATGTTGATTTTGTCTCTTTTCATGTTCCTCTTGCAGTAGGTTGTTCATGGCTGCTTTACAATATATCATTTAGTGAGATTTAAGGATCTGAGCTAATTCTACTGTGAACTGCTTTTTACCATATGCTGGTTTGGGCCTTTGAGGGTTGAGTTTCCATTTAATGCTCCTTTCTGTACACAGCTAATGGCGATAGATTGTTTTATGTGTTTGACAATTGAAAATTTCTTGTTTGCAGGATGATAGCTCTATCATGTTGCGTGACCTGAAAGGCTCCAAACTTTCTGGAAGTATTTTCAATATCCTTTTCAATCTTAACAAATTCATGGCCTTTGAAACTCGTGATCCATTCCTCATTCGTCAGGTAAATGTAACACTTCAGCTTTTATTTACTTTAATGTTACCTTTAAAAGGAACTGTATACCATGACACTTCTATGCAAGTTTTGGATAACTGCCTTGTCTATGTTCAAACAAACAGGAGCGTGAGAATCCTACATTGACAGAGTGGGATCGTTTTGCTCATAGAGAATATATTAGGCTTTCAATGGAAGAAGATGTCGAAGATGCCTCCAATGGAAGTGCAGAAGTTTGGGATGAATCACTTGAGGCTCCCTTCTAAATTGAATTGGGTATGCTTGTCCAGTTCATGTCCTGCCGTTTTGCTTGTTCTGGCTCTTTGTGGAAAATAAAGAATAGATAAATAAAAGAATGTACTAGTAAAGATGACAACGGGTTGGGTTGGGACGTTTTTTTGCTAGCCATGAACCTGACCTGACATTATATACCTAATACCCGAATTTGATCCTATATAAAAATATTATTTTTTTATACCTGACCCAACTCGTATATGTATAAAACCGTAATTAATCTGATCTGATCCGAAATTAATAAATATTATTTTTTAAATATAAATATAAAATTAAATAAATATAAATATATTAAAATATATAATTAAATAAATAATAAAAAAATATATTTTATATGTATATAGGGTCAGGTCAAGACGGGTTTGTTTAAAACTCTATCCCGATTTTTTTTTACTCTAAACCCAACTTGAAACCCGATTAAAAAAAAATCGATCTTATATAATCAGGTCGAAACTCAATGGATTTGGGTTGGATTACTGACCCTATGTACTAGCCAATGCTGAAGTCAGATTGTCCCGGCTGGGGCAAGGATATCTTCAGTTCCTAGTAATGGTTTGCAAATGCACCAGATAAAAGAATAAAAGCTAAAATAACGGCAAAGCATTTCTAGCCAAGCAAGCTGGAATTTCATGGAAACTCAACAACAAATGTCTGTTCACTTCCTATATCATACTTATTTTTCTCATGATCTTCATGTCTCTGCAGGTGCTCAGAGAAGAGCTCAACACATTTCTTCTATGCTGGGCACCAGAAAAAGATGTCACCTTGAATGGGCAAGGAAGATACACGTGGTGTCATTGGAGGAAAATTTTGAGCTCGGCCTTGTGGGATGTACTCTTGATGCACCAGTGAAGTGTTTTCCAGCCTTCGCATTCCTGGCTTGACAAAACTTGATGAATCGTGCAATCGGGGCTTTATCTAAAGCAATTTTCACATGCACGAGGTTTTGCTGGTTTAAAGAAGGTTAGAACATTTTAATACCCTTTCCATTCTCCATTTTTAAGATACAATTAAAGTCCGTTTTTTCCTCCGTCCCTGTTGGTTCATTTAGTAATTTCAATGGTATAGTTGAATGTAGGGTTGTCATGTTATTTCTCTTATTTATGTAGCAATTTTGGTCTTGGATCATGGTCGTCTACCAATTGATTTTAGTTGTTTTCCCCCTTTTTTTCTATTAAGTTTGTGTTCTTTACCTTTTAGTTGTGTTATGAACATAGGTGTATTTTTTTGTGAAATTCGAAATTTCTGTTGTAAGTTATTTGAATAAAGAGGTGGGAGTTATTATCCAAGTCCCATCGAGAATCATTGAACTAAAGCCAAAAAAAAAAAAGAAAGAAAGAAACTGAATTAAATTTCTTCTCTTTTCTTTACAGCTTTCGCATGGACAAAAAAGGAAAGCAAAGTAATTCCTAAATTTACAAATTAAATAATTAAAGTGTTAAAAAAGATGTGAGTGAGTAACCCATGAAAGAAACAAATAAGATGAATTTTTTTTTAAAGGACGGGATATGATGCATAAAAAGATTCGTTAGTGGAATTTTTGGCGGATAGTATAAGAACCCATGGAAGAAACAAAGAAGATGAAAGAAAGGGAAATATATTTTTAAGAAGCTTATTAAGTAGGTTTAAGAGTCCTAGCTTTTCAATAGGACTTAAAATTTTTAGGGGCAATGTACATCGGCCTTCGTGTAGGTTAGATTTGATAATTTCAAACATGGTATAAAGAACATAATAATAACATGAAAATAAATCGTATATATATTTAAAAAATATATTTTTTGTATTTATTCATGTTGAGATAAATTTTGATACAATATAATTTATATTTTATGTATTGATACGTTTGAATATGTATAAGATATGAAAAATATATTTATATAAAATGTGTCACATAAATATATGTTTAACATGTGATATAATATGAAAAACACATTTAATTTAATTTTGTCATATTAAAACGTGTTCAATATATTTTTTATATTTATTTTAATTTAATACAAATATATAAAAATTATTTTAATTTTTAATGTTTTAATTATGATACTTAATTAGTTTTTCAATATCATATAAAAATGATTTTAAACATTTAATTATGATACTTATTTAATAATTATTATAAAATTATTTTTTATATTAATAATATAAATAAAATATAAATATTAATGTTAGTTTTATACATCATTATTTTATTCTTTAATTTTTAGTAATTCATAATTTTGAATTTGATACTAAAATTACTATTATTATGTAATATATATTAAAAATTATATTTATATTAACTACATATTAAATGGGTATCAAAATTTTTTTTTTTTTAATATGTAAGTAATATGTCAAGTTTATTAAGTTGTAAATGATATATAATTTATAATTATTTATTATTTTAGTTGTGTTTTTGTATATATTCTTATTAGTCTTGTTTATTCGTGTATATCTCTATTAGTCGTGATTATTCGTATATATTTGTATTATTCATATTAATTTGTGTCGTGTTTAAATATATTAATTATATATATATTAATTGTATTGTGTCATAATACATATAATAAATATTTTGTGTTCATATTTAAATTTTAAATATATATTATAATTTATATTATATTCATGTTTTAATAATTCGTATCATTATATATATATATATATACACACACGTAAAACATAATATGAGATACGATGAATAAACATGAATTACCAGGCCTATTGTAGGCCACCCCTTTAGTAGCATCATGGGTTAAAGAAAGATGACCAATACTAACAAATGTATAATTCAAAGAAATTCAGGAGTTGTCATCAACTGGACAAATTATCTCGAAGTACAAGCTCAGTTACCATCATATCACCCTCATATTCACGATCAATGGAGACAGTTGCCAATGTACCCTTGACAGACCATTGGTTCATCAGCCATACAATTGTGATTTGTGAAAGTGACCTTGGAGGAGAGGCAGGGATTTGTGTCAGATTTTGAACCCACAACCAACCAACGAACCCCCAATCCCTGTCTCGGGTGAAAAGGAAGTGAGTAGTGCTAAGATTTTCTGTTGTTTCTATGGCCGAAGTAAGGATGCTTTCCCATTAAGAAAATAAATAAATATAGCAAAGGAACAAAATTACAAAAGGTTTTTGTGACTTTTTGTGAGAAATCACAGCTCAAATGGGAAAAGGGGGACCAAAGACTGTTTTAAGGGCAAAGCATGTGTGTGTTAAGCAAAAGAAAGCACCCCACAAGAAAATTTTGTTAGTAGTTGAGAAGCAAAAAGAGGGACAATACCCAACATTTTGAGCTCAAAGCATAATACCATTGAAATCATATGGACCTCAACCTCTCTGCTCCACCAAAAAAAAAAAAACTCTAAAAATTTACAAAAGTTAAAGTAAATGGAAACATGGTTTTTTGCATAAAATATGTTAGAAATACAAGTCTGATCAGATCAAACATTAATATAGCTAAACAAGGAAAAGAGGTAAATTGTTGGGTCCATGAGTTTGGGTTCAAATATATTAAAAAAAAATATTATACTTTTAATTTCATTTATTAAGATTCGATCACCTACAACTTCGGTTATCAAATAAATATTAAACAAGATATTGAATGAATGCATAATTTAATTCGTAGTTATATTTTTTTTAATTAAAAATTTAAAGTCATTTCCATATAGTGATTATAAAATGCCTTGTTTTATAGTTTATAATTCATATTTATTACTTGGTGTTCATACAATCCATGCAAACTAGGTTTAGAATATCAACGTAACATAGTTTTAAACTTTAGTTTATAATTAAAATAAGAAAACGCTTGTATCATTCATTCAAGTTATTCCCTTCTTTATAGTTTATGTTGTTCCCTTCTTTTTTAAGATACTTCCACATAAAAAATTAGGGGTGGCAAAAATTAATACTACAATCTATGACTTTTTACTTTGAGGGAACAAAATTAAGTCATTGATTATTATTGCTAAGATGATTCTTACTGCATTAAGAAGTCAAAGGTTAATTCTTTAACTTTTTGAAAAAGCAGAAAGTAAAAGATAAAAAAGTGCTTTAAGTACTATTTATTAAGTGGAATTTAACATGAATTGGTCATTATCAACTTCAAACCTACCCACTCTTAAGAATTTTTTAACCATGCATACCAAGTACTTTTAACTAATCACCTTTTTTTTTTTTTTTTGGAATTTGGGAAGCATTTTAATGGGATAATAATTGAAATTTCAGTAGTAAAAATACAATAAGATCTAATATATACCTTTCTCGACTTTTAGATTAAAAGTTAAAAGGTTTTTAGAATTTGTAATTTATATAATTATTTTTAAAAAATGACATTAAAAAATTATATTTAAATTACAATATTTACAATATTTTCTTTTATTCTCATACTATACATTTTTTTTTTGTTAAAAAAAAAACTAAAGGGTAAAAACCCCAAATAAAAATTTAATAATTATTTAAATTCTTATCATTTTATTACAATCAATTTAATTCTCAAACATTTATTTTCATTAATTGAATACTTATTAAACGTATAATTACTTAACCGTCAATATCTATTTTTTCGTAACTTAAGAATTTAATTAATTCTAAATAAAAAAATTTTAAAATTTGATTAATTATAATAAAATGTCCAAGCATAAATTATTATTATTTTTTGTTCAAAGATTTTTTTATCCTTTTGCTCAAAATAAAGTATCCTAAACATCTAAGCTTATGCTTTACAAAACATCAACATTTAATTCTATGAAAAAAAAAAAGCAATATTCATTGTTATAAAGAACATTTATTATTGTATGATGATGAAATTGAAAATTAATCTTTTTTTTCTTTGCTAAATTAAGATAATTATTATTTTTTAATTATTATAAATTATTTAATAATAAATAATTAATTATAGTAACTGGTGTGGAATTTTGTTCAGACACTAACTTCCACAAAGAATAAAACAGCAGCATCCGGAGGCTTAACAATTCCAAAAATGTAGGAAAAAGGAAAAAAGAAACAAGTGTTGTTTGAAACAAAGACTTGCTTTGACTTTTCCATTGATGGATTCTGGGTCGCCATCAAACAACCATTGTCCATTGGATCTATCAACTAAACTTCAAAATATCATCAGAAAAAAAAAAAACAAAAAACAAAAAAAGCCGACTGGAATGGCAATTCAGGTAATTTCACACCAAAACAAAGGGCATTTAACGTTCAAACAAAGGAAAGAGAAAGAGAGAAAGCAAAAAATTGAAGAGACACCACCTGAAAATAAGCAGAGACGAGCGAAATGGATAGAAAATCAAAATAGATATTGAGAGAGAGAGAGAGAGAGAGAGATCTGAGTTAAGCAGTGAGTAGCGAGAACTGAGTCGACTCGTGGTGTGGAGGTGAGTCAATGTTTGAAGGATCAAGATTTGTGACCATTCGGATCCTGTATTTTGAAATTGACGTTAACCGTCTGATTTAACCCCTCACTCTCTTTAAAGTTAACTTTTTTTAAGCTAAATTGAAAGGGAACGAAAAACCTACTCGATCGGGTCGGTTTTCGGATCTTCATTTGGATGCTGCTTCCGCTTCCTCAGGTTTGTCTTCCTTTTCTTTTAATTGTGTTAAATTTTGTTTGGTTGCTAAGAAAATGAACAAAAACAAATGGACAAGAAAGGAAAATAAATGAATATTTTTTGTGTTACTTTGAAAAGAATGTGAAATTTAATTTAGTTTAAAATAGTGAAAATATTTGTGTTTAATTTTTTTATTGGTGTAAAAAAGCAAATTTTTTTATGGTAATATGGAAATTTTACTTATTGAAGCTCCTTTTTGGGTGTTAGATTAACAGATTTGAACTCTGTGGAAGCTTTAATTTCAGTGTAAATGGAACTGAGGATAACAAAATGGAAGGCATTTGGGCAATGGTGAAGAAGTTACAGCATTGCTGAGTTTTTTAGTAGCTTCAATTTAATATTACTATAGTTAGTATTGAAGCTGGAGAGCAAAGCCTTGGAAGATATTGTTTTGAAGAATTTGAGATAAAGGTGGAAGTGGATTTTTTTTGTTAATTTTTATGTTTTTATTGTTAGGGGTATTGAAGATGAATGAAATCATAACGTAGGTATAGAAATTTTGTAAGAGAGAATTAAGTATAATGGAGGATCTTTCCAGGTATGCCCATAGTCCTGCCCATTTAGCTGTTGCCCGCCGTGACTATGCTGGGCTTAGGCACATTATTTCGACACTCCCTCGGCTTGCCAAGGCCGGTGAGGTTAATACTGAAGCTGAATCTGTTGAGGCTGAGCTCCAGGCTGATGCTGTTTTGGCCGTAATAGATCGTCGTGATGTCCCAGGTAGGGAGACTCCACTGCATTTAGCAGTGCGGTTGCGAGATCCAGTCTCGGCGGAGATTTTGATGGCGGCTGGTGCAGATTGGAGTCTTCAGAATGAGCATGGTTGGAGTGCTTTGCAAGAAGCAGTATGCACAAGGGAAGACGTGATTGCTATGATCATTGCGCAGCACTACCAACCACTTGCCTGGGCAAAATGGTGTCGTAGACTTCCCAGGATTGTTGCCTCAGCAGCTCGTATCCGTGACTTTTACATGGAGATAACTTTTCATTTTGAAAGTTCTGTCATTCCATTTATTGGTCGCATTGCACCATCTGACACTTATCGAATTTGGAAGCGGGGTTCAAATCTCCGTGCTGATATGACACTTGCTGGATTTGATGGGTTCCGTATTCAAAGATCAGACCAATCATTTCTCTTTCTAGGGGAAGGCTACACTTCCGAGGATGGGAATCTTTCTCTTCCTCCAGGCTCTTTGATTGTTCTTTCTCATAAGGAAAAAGAAGTTACAAATGCTCTGGAGGGGGCTGGTGCACAAGCAACAGAATCAGAAGCTGCTCATGAAGTAGCATTGATGTCTCAAACTAATATGTATAGGCCTGGCATTGATGTCACTCAGGCTGAGCTTGTTCCTCATTTAAATTGGAGGCGACAAGAGAGAAGTGAGATGGTTGGAAGCTGGAAGGCTAAAGTTTATGATATGCTTCATGTGACAGTCAGTGTGAAGTCAAGGAGGGTTCCTGGTGCAATGACTGATGAAGAGATTTTTTCTGTGGATGATGAAGAAAGGATGGCAAATGGTGGTGAGAATGACGAGTATGATGATGTATTGACAACTGAGGAAAGGATGCAGTTGGATTCAGCACTTCGTTTGGGAAATACAGATGGTTTTTGTGATGATGATGAGCATGTAGTTGTTGATTGCCAAGAAAATGGTTCACGAGGTTCCAATGAAAACTTTGAATCAAATGGTGTTGCTAAGGAGAAGAAGAGCTGGTTTGGCTGGAATAAGAAAGGCTCAAAACAGAGTGATGACCCTGAGGATTCAAAGATTTTGAAGAAGTTCTCCAAATTGGCCCCTGAAGGTAGCAATCAGAGACAAGTTGGTAGTCACAAATTATCATCTGAATTTGTAAAGGAAGATGCTGTGGATGGCAAGAAGGGTAAAGATAAAGGTGGCAAGAAGAAGAAGAAGAAAGGGGGCATTAGTGATGCTAAGCATGAGAGTGAGTACAAGAAGGGTTTGAGACCTGTTTTGTGGTTAACACCAGATTTCCCTTTAAAGACAGAGGAACTCTTGCCTTTACTTGACATCTTAGCCAACAAGGTCAAGGCTATAAGGAGACTAAGGGAGCTTCTGACAACTAAACTTCCTTTGGACAAATTTCCAGTCAAGGTAATTCAAGATATATTCTCAAACAATCATCTGATTTTATGGTTTAAATCCAGTTTAGTTTTTAATTGTATGCATAAATCATGCTTTTTTTTTAATGTCAATGCAATTTTTTCTATTTATTGTTTTTGTGGTTGGAACAGAAGAAGTGATGATAAGAAATACTGAAGTAGAATTGAGATTTCACAGTTGACTTAAGAGTGGTAGTCATGTCTTAAAAATGTCTGTATTTGTGTTTCTAGTTTAGGGGGCCACCTTGTTGACAATGAACCACATGCTTTCTGCATTATAGTGAGGCGGCTAAATACTTCACAATTTGTTATTTCCAGTTTCCATTTTTTTTTCAAAACTCTACAATTATAATTAACTTTGAAAATGGCCCGAATGGTGTAAAATCTTCATTTTAAATGTTAGTCTGTGGAAACTGCTGTGTAACTATAGTAGAAATTGGTGACTTTATGAGTGTGACCAATATCACAAGCCCATCCGAAAAAAGGAACAGGTTTTTTTCTCTGGCTAGCTACTAACATGCTTTCTCAACAGTTTTATTGGGCTGTTTTCTATAAATTATTTTTCTTAAATACTCATATTTTATGTTTTCAACGAATTAACATTGATGTCTCATTTTCCCTATTTCAGGTTGCCATCCCTGTTGTCCCAACTATTCGAGTCCTTGTCACTTTTACTAAATTTGAGGAGCTTCTGCCCATGGAGGAGTTCGCAACACCTCTTTCCAGCCCAGCTTATTTCCAGGATGCCAAGTCAAAGGAATCAGAGGGTTCAACGTCATGGATTTCATGGATGAGAGGGAGTCACGGTGTCCAGTGTGGGGATAGTGATAGTCATCGGTATAAGGATGATGTTGATCCTTTTCAGATACCATCCGACTATACCTGGGTTGATGCCAATGAGAAAAAACGTCGTATGAAAGCGAAGAAAGCCAAAAGCAAGAAGCATAAAAAGAAAGCAGCAGCCAAAGGTGGGGATGGTGGCCAGCAGGTGAATGAAGAGGTGGAAGAATAATTACACGGTCCCAGTTATTTAACCCCTTCAGTGGCATCTGCAAGAGGAAGTGGAGGTAAGGCTCCTCCCTGTATCCATCTGAAAATTTTCTAATCGCATTTAAGAGATATGGGGCAGTTGATTTGCAGAATGATTTGGTGGGGGATCGCTTTGATTAAGAAGAGCCTTGTCATCTGTTGTTGTATTGTTATGTGATGTGAGATTGGAGAGGGACAAAATCTCCTCGTTTCATTACTAGCTGTTTCAATTCTAATTTTTCTTGGACATCAAATCTTTGTATCTAAGTCCCCATGGTCATCAAATTTTCATTTTTGTGATTGGTATTCTTTCTCCCGTCATTGTAGTTCTTGATAATTCATCTTTTTTCTTGCTCCTTTCACCCCATCTGTTGTGCAGGTAACAGCCAATGGAACTTAAAATGAAAAACAGACTATAATTAAAGGAGATGATTTTGGGTAGCTGGTAGATATTGACATGGATCAGAAGGTTAGAAACTAATAAATCTGGGATAAGTTATATTAAATCTGACAATTCTTATATATGTGTATATTTGTATCATGTCAAACATGTTTAAAACACAATTTTTGACATGAAAAACGTGAGAAATTATCATTGTCATATTAAACATGTGTAACATGTGAAATATTTGACATTTAAAACATGAAAAATTATTATGTTAAATTCATGTTGACATGTTAAATATATATAATTTTTTATTTTTGCTAAAATCAATACAATTTTAATTAAAATTTTTAATCGTGTTGCTTTTATTTATTTATTTTTTTGTATAATTTTCATCTCATGTTATTATATCATGTTTAAAATTACAGGTCCAGTTAAGGCTATGAATTTCCTAATTTTGGTTCAAAATCTTCACTTCACATTTTGGTTTTATCCATTGCCACTACATCTACATGTTTCATAAGTAATCTTGGTGCATTTAGATACGTACAAAAAGCCACAAAATTATGTGGAAAAGCATATATAAACCAAATAAATTTCTTTAGATCTAATCTACATGCCTATCCAATCTTTGGTTCTCAGATTTCACTACCAAAACCTATCCTTATTAACACTTAAATATCCAGCCATTACCTTTCCTCCGGTGTTCCTCATGCCATCTATAAGAAAGCACCATGTGGATCCTAATGCACCAATAAAAAAGTCTGATTCCACTGCCATCAAGAAATTAACAAGAGGATAGTTCGTACTGATTTTTCTTCCAAGGCTTGCCTCATATCTGGCCATCGATATGTTACCTATTTGGCGTGTCACATTTGTGTAATAGAAGTTCCAATGAGGGTATGATTTTGTATTATCGATCACTTCCTGAAATTTAGTTAGACCATTCATGATATTAGATCATTCTTTTCTTTTTTAGTTTTTATAATTTTAATTTTTTCTTTCTATGAGTAAAAATATCAGATTACAAACCTGCATTTCAGTGGAGAGCCAAATGTTCTTGAGATGTGGAAAGCGCTTTTGAATTCGAGCAGCAAGTTCCATATATTCTTCGTATTCAACCACTTTCATTTCACATGCCTTGTCTCCCATTCTTACATGCATACTCAGCAATGGCCTTGGAACCCAAGGTTTGTGATTTGACCACACAAATTCTTCAATATCTGACTTTGGCTGGTTCACACTCACCTGTTGTGAAAGCTCTCATGAGTAATACTCTCAAAATGAGAATTGAGTTCAGCATGCATGATAATAGTTCTTTCTTCAAAGAAGCAGGTGGTTAAAATTCAGGTGACCATGAATGAAGAACTTATCCCTCTTGTTCATTCACAGGCATGAATGTAAAGACCAACAAAATAACATCAACCTGGAGATCTTAAGATTCTCTAACTCACTGTCAATTACATAGGTAGAAGTTAAATACCAAAAGACTCAAGACTTAGATGAACAAACCTTTGGCCACTCTCTGTCTATACTTGCAAGAACAATTTTTGCAGCTTCCTTCCCAAATGCAGCATGGCGAGCAATGTTAAATAAGCCACAAGTGTACTCTGTTTTAAATCTCATTAGATAGCGAACAGCCTGTGAAAAATAAATGGTATTCTACTTAAACAAGAGCCATCTGATAATCTGTACAGCACGGGATTCTCATGCTTTCCCCAAATCAATACTTCAAAAACTTCATGTTGGAAAGGAAACCATCAGAGGGTACCTGTGCTCTCCACCACCTTCGATCCATTTTATGGTGAAAAGCAATTAAACTCCCATTTATCTCTGTTGTAGGCTGCAAATAACTCCATGGATCACCCCATACCCTGTATAAAATAGTGAAATCACTGACTGAAGATATATTAATGTTTTCCAACTGCAAGTCAGTACAAATTCACATATGCAAATTGCAATTTCTTACCTTGGAATCTTCCCTACCCATATTTCCTTTGAATTATAATTGTCTTTTCCTTTTATAATTCCCTTTTCCCATGCCTCTTTGCTGAGCATAAGCTCAAATGCACGGTCTCGGCATTCCGGGGATGTCTCTAGGTAGAAGTAGCAAGACCAACGATTGCGTGCATCTAAAATACAAACACCATGGCCATGGCAATACTAATGGTAAGGTAATTCTTCAAGTTCCCAGACAATTAATTCACAAAAAATGTCACAAATCAAGCAATAAGTTGTTAAATTACAAACCTTTACAACCATCGTGGTCAGCACGATTGTAGTATCTGGTAACAAGCACCCTTTTCTCATTGATTGCAATAGCAAGAAGCCCAGACATACCAACAATCTGGGCACCAATGCCAAAGCCAGGTAATTTTTCCCAGTCAGCCACAAGAAATTTTGTGTTAGGGTCATGGCAGTTTATTGGATGCTGATGGATCCAAATGTCACGCTGCACTTTCCTGGTAAGAGGATAGTTTTCTTCGTCTGATCCCACAATCTGAAAAAGGTCCCAATTTTCGAAAATTATTAAGAAGCAAAAAAACATATCATTTTACAGAACATGTGCATAATTTCTTAATTCCAGGAAAGAAATGTAACTGGCAATACAAATATAAATCATAATCACATGATGTAAGATCAGATTTGCTTGCTTACGGATCGTGTTGCTTAGGTACATACCCATGGAGGATAAGCGCCACTAGATTCAGCTTCGTTCTTAAAGCTTCTTATATTCTCATTAGCTGCAATTGCTGGATACATGTCTAATGAACCCTTCCAAGTTGTCCAAGGAGGAAATCTCGCAGCTCCCATGCGTGTGTCAAGACGCTTATTCAATTGGGCACTTAATTTGCAGTTCTCCAAATGAGGGGCGTTTGGTGCATTGGATTTACTGAGTCCAAATCTTTGCCAGAACTCACTTTCTTCAGGTTCTCTATCAGCTAATAAAGCACCCCAAGCTTCAGTCAGTAAAGAAACTCTCTCATCATCGCTCTCTGTTTCCCTTCGCCGCGAATCCACCAATCTCTCACCTTCTTTTACTTTAAATTTGCGGTCTCTACTTGTAACAACATCTGCATTTCAATAGAGGAAAATGCATTGATATTAAAACAAACCCTTTATTGTTTACAATCAAGAAATTCTCAAATGCAAATCTATTTCAAGTCCATCATTGCAGTGGTCTCAACAACCTTTAAAATTGTTAGTGGTGGTGGCAGTTCCACGGACAAACATCTTACAGGTTAAAACTCCCAACATCGGTTGCTTGCCACTGACCATTTACTGGTCCAAAAGTTGTGATGCTGGCTTCTAGCTGAAGTATGTTAAGTGAGCTGAATTACCAAACTAATTATGATTATGTAGAGACTTAGTCAAAAGTCATCAACTAAAGACGTAAATAACAAATTTGGGCAACAAGTCATTCTAACTTTTAGTTGCTTCAAGTATACCCTTACATCATATTCATCATTCAGCATCAATCTGTCAAATTTTGACAGAACTTCACCGCGAATTCATGTATTCGCTGAACATAAAATCATTATCTGGATATACTAAGAACTCAATTCTGCACCTATTTGATCTGAATTTTCAAACTTCCATCCCAAGTACCATCTCCGTTTTTTACAAAAGATAATAAAATGTCCCATTAACACCGCACATTTCTATACTAATTAATTAATTCATTCATTGACATCTAACTTACTGGTTGTCTCTGAACTTGAATTCCTTGGAGAAATCCCCATTGATGTGGATGAAAATGAAATCCCACCAAACCCAAAAGTACCAAGTGAAGTAAGAGCAGCCAGGAACAAAGAAGTCAGACAAACTCCACAGAGAAAACCCACCACACAAATTTGGCATGGAAATGAACTACTCATTTGCAGAGCTCTTTGTGAAACCACTTTCTCCAAAAACTTCTGGTTTGTTGGCTCCATGTTCTTCTTTGTTTAACTGTTTAGAAGATTATCAAGTTCCAAGAAGAAAGAACTCTCAACAGCCCCTGAAGTACTGATTTCTTTTATCTAGAATTTCATGTCATGCTAACTACCATGCAATTATAATCACATGAAAACATATATAGTTTTAACTATATTGATGTTTTTCATATGAAAGTGAAACCGAAGCATGAAATAGTTGGTTTATGTTCAACCAATCAAAGGAAAAAACACATTCACTAAATTGTCACTCTTCAAATTCTCAACCATTCACTTCATCATTAATGACTCCTTAGCCTTGGTGGTCCACTGCTATCTTTTCCTTACAGCTGCAAAATAAATTGAAAATTCTCATCAGAATTTACAGCTGAGAATATCTAAAAAAAATGAAAGAAAGGAAAAATAATGCAAGGCCAGAATAAAGAGGAAAAACCAGGAGAAATTCAATGCAGAAAAAAAATCATAAAAGAAATTTACAAAATATTTCAATTATGCAAACATTTATTCACTAAAAGGAAAAAAAAAAAAAACAGAAAACAAATTCTTTCAAAAAAAAAAAAGAAAAACAACTGAGGTCAGCAAAGTATTAACAGATGATTCAAAACTATAAAAGAGATAAACCCAAGAAAAAAAGGAGAAAAAAAAAAGAAAAAGAAATTGATAACATCAAAATTGAAGTTTAAAACAGTAGGATATATTCAGTAAACAGAAAATGATAAAGATAAACCTTACAATTGATAGCGTTCAGAATAGATAAAAAAAAAAAAAACATGTCACAAAAGATTACTGCAAAACAGATGGCACAGGATAAGAATCTTAATAAAGCATCTTACCAGAAACAAATACCCAGAAAAAAAAAAAAAAACACAGTTAAAAAAGTGTGGTCATTTTCATTTCTCAATTATATTTTAAGAAAAAGAAAATGGTTCAAAATTCAACCAAAAAATGAAGTGTGATATTTTCAGCAAAACCCATGAAGTTAAGGAACAAAAACTTTGCAGTAATGAAAGAGAAAGAGGAGAAAAAAAAGAACCTTGGGAGACCAGCCATGTTTCAGTTTCTCTGAGAGCAAGGCACAGAAACGGACGTGTCACATAATTATTCTATAAGGCTATGTCTCTGACTATTCTAACAAGGTAAAGTGCACTCATTTTCTGGTTTAGAATTTTGTGCCATGAAACTTTGATTAGCACTTAACTTGTGGCAGGAATCTTCTGTCTGGATAGATGCAGTGCAACAGTAACTCCAAACTCAGTTATCATCCGGAGCAGGTCGCAAAATATGTTATACATGACCAAAAAAAGGTCTCACACTTCAAAGTGAAGGAGGGGACCACACCGTTCTTTCATTATCAAGATCAGTACAGCTCATTTGCAATGGAAAGAATGAAAGATACAAAATCTTATGGCACTGTTGCCTTTTTTTTTGGGGTTTGGAAAGTTAAACCAATAAATTTCTGGCTAGTTGCCTTGGCAATGTGATGAAGACTACAAACTTTTGACCCTACTACTTTATCCAATATTAAAAGAAAATAAAAAAAGATCATGTAACTGGTGAATATACAAGAAAATTTAATCCATTGGCAGTGGTTGAGTGTGGTTGACAAAATATTTTACCTACTACTCTCTGCTCACTATATATATTTTTAATTTGTGTTACTTTCTTTTTATCAAGTTGTTTTATTTTTTATTTAAAATTATCAGAATTTAAATTAAAATATATGATTATTATATGATTACTTGAGTCTTGTGCTCTTTTTGTTTCACCTTACTCATTATAAAAAATTAATTTTTTGGATTATTACATATTAACTTTTGATTATTAAAATTAAATATTAAATATTTTTATAAACAGAACACATATTGTTGATTGATTTTGACATAAAAATAATAAACTACATAATTTGTTAATAAAAATTATTAGAAAATTTTCATTTCCTTAAAACTTTTTGCTATGAAAGAAAAAAAAAATCACATTTGTGAATAGGAATGTTAAAATGTCATATAATTTCATGTGCAGTTATTAAATAGGATGGAATTTATAGTAGATAAGGCAGTTGAATAATTGCACTACTTCAATTATTATTGCTATAAATAAAAAATAATAAATAAATCTCTTACTAGGAGTTTTGCTTTAATTGATGAAGAAGCAAAGAAGATTATGGAATTATTAAATAAAAAAATTATTTACTTCAATACTTTATAAAGATTAGTGGTATAATAATGTTTGTAATATAACATCTTATGCCTTAAGCTATAATCATGTATAATTGAGTAATCTTACTATCCTTCAATCACAGCCGTTGATTGGTTTAATCAAAAAGTCAATCCAAAACAAAGAATTTTAATTATGTTATCACGTTGTCATTAGAATAAAATAAAAAATAAAAAATATTTTCAACGGTTTGATAAGAATTTAAATTTAGTTGATTTAATTTCAAATATTTAGATCTAAATTAAATAAATATAAAATAATTTAAGACAGTAATTTTAATGAGAATATCAGTAAAAATTGAATAATAGATTCGATTACATTTTAAATATATATTGATTTTAGATTTAGGATTGGAATAAACTTTCTATTCTTCTTTTCAATGTTCAAATTTTAAAAAAATTTGAATAAATTATAAATAAATTTAGATATATATATTATGAATACATTTAGAAATAAATAAAATTTTTAGTTTTTTAGATAAATATAAAATGTATGGTATTGACAATCTAAAAAACAATTATTACAAATCATATATTTAAAATAATTTTAACAAAAATTCATCTTAAGCTCGAATTTAAAACCACTTATAATGAAAAAAACCAATTCTACCTAACAAACCTCTTATTGTTATTTTAAAATATGTATTCCAATATTAAAAATGCAACCTTTTTCTTTTTACTGTTTTATTCCTAAATTCTAACCTTAATTATGGAGGAGAACCCAACCTCTAGGAAATCTGTTTTACTCTGATCTATCTATTCATCCACCTAAATTTTGGTAGAAAAATATTTAATATTTTAAAATAAATTTATTTAAGGATGTTAAGTTTATTTATATTTAATAAATAAATTTAATTTTTCACTCGAATGTAGATAACGAAAGGTATCTCATTGTGAGTACGAAAATAAAAATAAATATGATTTTAAATTTTTATTAGATACGAGAATGAAAATGAATAATATAACATTTATTCCGTATTCATACGTTATATTTATGTTTATATATATTTAATATATAACTTTTTTATTAAATAATATAAATTATTATTTTAGATTAATTAAAATTAATATATTTTTATGGAAAAATATATGTTAATATATATTTATAAAAAATTATATAAATATACAAGATAAAAATTAAAAATTAAAAAAATTTAGTTTTTAATTTTTTTATTAAAAGTAATGGGTATAAAGATTACTCATATCCATTAAATATTCGTAGAAATGAAAATAAAAATAAATTTAAATATATATAGGATATAGATACATTGATGAATATAATACAAAAATCTAAAAATGAGAATGAAAAATATTCTACCTTGTCTATATTTTATCTATTAACATCTCTAAATTTATCTTAATTATATTTTTGAATTATTATTTAAAATAATTCATATTTTTTTATTATTAAATTTATCAAATTATAATAATTAATAAAATTGATCAAATTGACTGTATATTTGAATTTTAGGATATATAAAGAACCTATTAGTTTGGGTTAAGATTGCTCACATCTTTTCAAAAAGAAATTCGGATAAGTAAAGTTTGCTATGTTACAACTGTATTGATAGCTTTTATTATTATTATTATTATTAAACATAAATTATTTAATAAATAAATAAAAGATAATCAAGCTGTAACATCGTATGCAACGCAGGATGCGAGATATGGGAAATAGAGTTTAAATTAAGTATATAACTCTTTGGATGTTACTCGAAGACTTTTTTATTTGGTAAGTGGAGGAGGTCAATGCCAGTTTCCAATACTCAATCGCATATGTCGTAATTCAAATATAAAGGGGAGGGCACACGATGGTTAATATTATTCAATAAAACATTTCCATTTTATTTAATGATAAAAAGTTTTTGGATTTTATCTAATATATATTTTTTTATTCGATTCAAATATGTTCATAAAAAATTATATTTTTAAAGTTTTTTAATAAATTTAAAAACAGACGATAAAAAAAAGTACACTTTCTTTATAACTTAAATTAATTATCTGATGATAATATTTATAATTTTATCTCTCCACTAAAATGTTTTTAAATATTATTCAATAATCTATTTTTAAAGATTGGATACATAAAATGAATATAATTCTAATTTGTTAAGAAACATTTAGAAACATTAGTCTACATTTTTTTTAATGTATATAATTAATGGATTTTTTATTTTTTATTTTACTTTTGTAGCGAATTTGCTCAACTTTGAAGCGTTTTTTTTTAAGTTTGATAGCCTTTTTCTATTATTTTTTTATAATATTTGTAATAATTTTCTCAACTTTATAGTGTTTTTATAAGTTTTAAAAAAATTTTGATAACCTTGTAAGTTTTTTGATAATTTTCATATAATTTTGATAATTTTTGTAATAATCTTTATAACTTTTAAGCATTTTTATCACCTTTCTAATTATTTTAATAACTTTTAATATAATTTTGATAACCTTTACAATAACTTTGATAATTTTTGTAATAATTAAATCAAAATTAAATCAATGGTTAAAAAGTAATTTCAAAAAATCAAAGATTAAAAAATTATATAAAAGATTATTAAAATTAAATAAAAATATCAAAATTATAACAAAAATAATTAATATTATATAAAAAATTATCGAAATTATATTAAAGATTATCAAAGATCTTTAGGTGCAGTATTTATTTCACTTTATAAATCCTAATATATAAAGGCATCAATTAAATTTGACAATCAAGTAACTCTGATTCTATTGTCAAAAATATCTAAAAGAAATTAATTTGGCACTCTATTTTTATTTTACAAATTAGAATATGATTCACTCCTTTAACTTGCTCTAAAAAAATTTCCTATTTTATTAAAAATAGGATTATCTGTTGCTTAGTTTGTTTTTTTTGGTTAAACATTAGATTTTTTAGTGAAGAACTGAAGATCCTCCTGGACTTCTCTCTAAATCATTCCTGATTTGGATGACAAGTTTGTCTTGCTTAGCTTGTCTACATTGTTTTGTACGAAAATAACAAATTGGTTTGTCAGCTTTCAAAGATTTTAGCTGCTTGAATTGCAAAATACTATTGATTTCCTCCACAATGAATCTGACTCTTTGAACCACCCTTTCACCCTCTGGTTAAAGCAATGAAAACAATCCCGGAACCAGATTGGCATTGGACCCTTAACCACATCCCTAGGCAAAAGAACATGGCAGCGGACTGGATTGCTAAGTGGAGCTGCTCACAAGGCAGAGGACTCAATGTCCTTCCAGTACCAAATCTTGATAGCTTCAAGTACTAAAAAATCAACTATATGGAACTTATCCAAGAATAACTTTCTTGATATCACTGTAAAAATCCCAATGTAATACACATTACTTACAGTATTAGTTAATTACAAAGCATGACCATAAGACAATGCAGAAGCAAGATAAAGCCAATTAGTCTTCTCAATGCAAATGCTTTAGATTTAGAAGGTTAACAATCAAAAGCAAAGCCTGTGATTCTTTCAAAATGAAAAGAATATCACATATGGTCACCCATTGAGTATTCACAAAAAGATCGATCTAAGATCTAAAATGTTTCAAAAACTCCTGATTTCTGTCAGCATAATTATCTGTATTAGAACATCATCTCCAGGAGCAATGCTATGTGGTCTATAGAAAGATGATTTATCAGATGCGAAGTCAACAATTCTGCTATTTCTCTGTTCTAGCTCGTTTTGAGAGTGGGGAACCAGACTCGTTGTCATTTATCTCTACATGGTCAGGCGTTTCTGATTCCAATGCCTTCTGCTTCCTGCTTACATCCTGGGAACTTTCTTCCTCTTTAGTGCTAGCATTTCTTGTATCAGTCCCGGTTCTTGTCTGAACTAGCTCCAAGTCTTCTGATTTATCACTCCTACAAGTTGGGTAAATTGAGCCAGGTAATGGAGTAGGAGGGTCATCTAGGGAAGAAGAGGGGGCTCGACTCTTTTCATCCTCTATCTTTTTTTGTTTCTCAAACATCATCTGCAGATACCTTCCGTGTTCTTCAATTTGCAACTGCAACTTTCTCTGAATCTGGAAGAAAAATGTATCAGGCATCAGAAAATATGCGTGCATTATTTCAGTCCATGAATAACATGTACTGGTAGCTTCAACGCCATCAAAAAGGGTTCACCAGGATTATCAAACAATAATCAAAAGCCATTTCTTCTCACCATATGCTTCCCAGTTCCCAAATGGGTATGTTTGGAAAATGAAGAGTCCAAGTAACAATGTTGAAACCAAGTACTAGCTTATTCTAAGAACTCCATATATTAAGGTGGAGAGCTTGAAAAAGAAGTTATTATATAGGAAAGAAGACATATCCATGCATTGTGTTGGCTAATCTGCAAGTGAAAGTCAAAAAAATTAATGCTTAGCCACCAGTAGCTTACCTCAAGTTGTTCATGGAGCTGCTTCTGAACTTCCATCTGCAATTTCAATGCTTCAGTAATTCCTATACTCCTGCAATTTCAAAAATTAAAGCCCAAAATCAGCTTATTTATTCAGGATTTTCAAACAGTACAAAAACAAATCTAGTAGCTAAAGTTATTAAGCCTCCACAAAGATATCTAATTTTGGAAGTTGACAGTAGGATAAAATATAGGGTAATCACACAGTCACGCTTTCTAGAATCCAGGGATGCATGAATGACAATACTTGCAAAACCTGGTTAGTTACACATAGGAAGCAAATAACCAGATGTGCAAAACGCATATTATATGAATTGGTTTCATTGATCGAGAATAGATTTACTTTTAAGAATAAAACATGACTTATATTTAGGCAGAACTTGAAAAAAATTAAGTTACATCATTTGGATATTCTCGAACCTTTTTACAGGAAATGAGACAAATAGTTAGTGCCGAATCTCACAGTGCTAAAATGATGTATTTCTGTTATAGTTTGACTTCCATTCTAAATGTCATATGTTTCTGTTGACAGATTATGTATCAAATCAAGATTGATTTCTTGATTTGTTGGGATTAATATATCTGGTCTTCTATTTGTTTCTATGTTTGGATGATTGTGTCCTGATTCTGTGCATTTCTTTATACATATCAATTCCTCTATATATTTGGAGATTCTTTTCAATAAAATAACACTCAGAGAATATCGTTTTTTATCTCTGTTTTCATTGTATCAGAGCAAGGTTTGCTCTTGTTTTTTCTTTTTTAAGGGCCAAAACAGCCATAACTGGTGCCTCTTGAGAGAGTAGATCAGAGGTGACTTCTGAACCAATTGTTGCACTTACTCCAAAGTGCACAATTGCACAAAAAGGTAACTATCTCTCTACTTTGGGTGCAAAATCAGATTCTAAGAAGTCAGATTATAGATTCCAAGGAGTCCGACCATAGCACTGGATTTTCAACATAAAATCCATGTTCTGGAAACCTTAAGATTCGTATCGCTGATGGATCACTATCCTTTGTTGCTGGAAAAGAAAACATTAAAGTTTCTAATATGACACTATTTTTAGTTTTGCATGTTCCTACTTTAGCATGTAATTTAGTGTCTATTAGTAATTGACATGGACTTGAATTGTGTGGCTAAGTTCTATCCTTCATATTGTGAGTTTCAGGATTTACTTTCAGGGAGGATAATTGGCAATGCTAAGCAGCATGAAGGCTTGTACTACCTTGAGGATCCTCAATAAGTGAATAAACAAACTTTGGTTCTATGTGGTGAATCTGTTTCTGTTTCTAATGAAGCACAATAGATTAGGAAATCCTATTTTTCCATATCTAAAAACTTTTTTCCTATCTTTTTAAGAATAATGATGTCCATTCCTTTTGTTGTGAAACTTGTCAACTTGCCAAACATACTCATGTTCCTTAACCTAGTCATCCATATAGATTTTCTAAACCTTTTTCTTTAGTTTATGGTGATATTTAGGGACCTTCACGGGAAAATAACATAACTGGAATTAGGTGGTTTATGACTTTTATAGATAATCACCCATAAGCTTGTTGGGTTTGCTTATTAAAAGACAAGTTTGATGCTAAGGCAATTTTTCAGCTATTGCACAAAATGATTCAAACACAATTTCAAGCCCAGATCCAAACTTTCCACACAGACAATAGGAGGGAATACTTCAATTCAATTTTTGGTTATTATTTAAAAGAAAATGGAATTTTTCACCAAAGTTCTTGTATTAACACCTTCCCACAAAATGGGATTACAGAACGTAAAAATCGTCACCTATTAGAAGTTGCTCGTATTATCATGTTTACCAATAATGTTCCTAAGTTTTTTTTTGGGATGCTATTTTAACAGCCTGATTAATAGACTTCCTGGTAGAGTTCTCAATTTCAAAACACCTTTATTACTTGAATCATATCCACAAACTAGGTTGTTTGCTTCTTTACCCCAAAAAGTCTTTGGTTGCACATCTGTTGTTCACAACAAAAGTCCATACTAGAACCTAGAGCTATAAAATGTACCTCTATTGGGTACTCTCCTACTCAAAAAGGGTATAAGTGCTATTGTCCATCCACAAAACAAACATCTGTCTCATTATATGTCACATTCTTTGAAAATCAACCCTTTTGAGGAGCATCTTGAAGCTGTGTATGGAATCTTAAGGTACTTGAAGGCCACACCTGGTAAGGGTTTGTTGTTCGAGAAGAATGAACAAAGAAATGTGGAAGCATTTATAGATGCAGATTGGGTAGGATCAATTGAAGACAGAAAATCCACCTCTGGGTATTGTATGAAGGTTTGGGGTAATCTTGTCACATGGAGGAGCAAGAAACAGTTTGTTATTGCTCGAAGTGGTGTAAAAGCAGATTTTAGAGCTCTTGCACAAGGAACTTGTGAACTTATCTGGTTGAAGAGATTTTTCGGAGAAATGAAAATGATGGCTGAATATCCCATGAAACTGTATTGTGATAACAAGGCTGCTATAATTATTGCTCATAATCTGGTGCAACATGATCGAACAAAGCATGTGGAAGTTGATAGGCATTTTATCAAAGAAAAGATTGATATGGGAGTGATCTATATGACCTATGTTCCAACAAAGCAACAAGTAGCAGGTGTCCTAATAAAAGGATTACATAAACTGAGCTCTGAGACTCTCATTGACAAGATGAGAATAATAAATATCTATTCTTCAACTCGAGGGGGAGTGTTGACAGATTATGTATCAAATTAGGATCAATTTCCTCATTTGTTGGGATATTGTTGGGATTTATACTTTTGGTCTTTTATTTGTTTCTATGTTTGGATGATTGTGTCTTGATTCTGTAGGTTTCTTTGAACGTGTCAATTCCTCTAAATATTTGGGGATTCTTGTTACTAAAATTACACTCAAAGAACATTGTTTTCATCTCTGTTTTCAGTTTCAATATTATAAGAGGCAACCAAGCTACCAATCAAAAGGTTGATGGTCGATTAAGCTTTAACTATAACCCTACATGAGATTAGAACTACGTATTCCAACTCAAATTTGCAATTGTTTCTTGAAGCATAACACCAGATAAATTATACTTTAATAGAACAAAATTCATAAGCAAAAGGTTAGAAAAACTTTATTTCAAGATAGCAGGAAAAAGAAAGTTACTTACGACTTCAAATCAAAGGATTTCATTTCTTCAATTGAAGTCATTTTTTTCTCTGATGTTCCTGAAACGAAAAGCAAACAATACATTTTAACCAGTTGTCTCACATTGCAAATGGAAGGAGATACAAGGTAACAACAGAATGGTATCCTATGCAGACAATTGTGAGACAAGAAAAAATCCAAATGATATTAAGAAAATACTGTGGAATGAAGTTGAAAGTATTCTAGTTGTCTTACCTTCTGATGGTTCTGGCTTGCATCTGGCAGTTCTATATTTCTGGATTCAGTATAAGAAACTATTCCAGTAAATTTATAAGATTGTTTGAGAAAGTAGTTAAAAGGATCAATAAGATGAGATTACATAAAGACCTGCAAATGACTTTTAACATGATAGATTGTTAAGCCTTTAACATTCATGAGCTTTAAGATGCCTTTTGGAGTAGCTCCTGTAAGTTTAAATTAGCAAAAATTAGCAAATGCTATATATAAATAATTGCCTACATGCTAATGAGATGAAAATTTACAACAGGAGTTGGAGTACGCACGTTCGCTCCCACCCAGCTTATTAACAGCTTCCACAAAAGCCTCATGAAGCTCAGGTGTCCAACGCATACGGGGCTTTTGAGGAGCAGTAGATGATGTGTAAGCCTCACTAGGAAATTCTCCACGTGGTGCAGGTTTATTCTGATGAAACTGTGGCTGTTTGTTTGAGATATCACCAGAAGGTTTCAGCACCCGATACATTTTTTAGTTTTCTCATGAAACAAACGAAATGAAAAACACAAAAAAGAAAACACAGCTCACAAAATTCATTAATCTTAATATTCCAATACGAAAATAATATCAAACGAAGCTTCTAATGGCAGATCAATAACTTGGCTAGATAGACCTTATCCTCTATGGAAGCCAAAGGCTAAATGGGCTTTTCATCCACAAATAAGTCCTTTTATGCCAAAGGAAAATGTTGCTGGTAGCTAATTATGAAATAGCATAAAAATTTATCACTTACTTGATTTTTGGTAGTTAAAAGTTCTGAAGATAATCAGATGTTATATAGTTTCTAAAAAAAGAAAGTTTCAACAGTTACAAATTAATTTGTTGTTATAGCAGCAGTGGCAAGATTGTACCACCTCGAGAATCATAAAACCAGTAAATAAAAAGGAATAAACTGAGAATCTTCCAAAGAAAATAAAGAATAAACCTCAAAAGCCACTTAAGATGTTTCTGCACCAACCCTATCTAAATAGAAGTTAGGAACATACCTTCAATTTGGGATATGAGACGTTGGTATTACCAAGAAACTCACTCCAGTCTGGATCCAGAGCATCATCAGCAGAGATCAACCGCTCTGTCCACTCCTGCCAATCAGTTCTCTTATTGTGGTCCTCAGATGCCATGACACCAGTGCTGCTTTCCACCAGCCCATTTGGACCAGGAACATTTTCAGTCAAATCAAGAAAGTCTTGAAGCCGATCTAGACACCAAGAAACATCCTTATTTTCCTTCAGGTGATTAGTCAAAGCTGTGGACTGTTCTGAAAATGAAGAATCTATTGGTGGCAAAGATTCTAAATCCCTTGATGACTGAGAAAAAAGTTCAGGATTTTGAGAGTGTCGATCATGTGCTAGAGATGAGGCATGCATATCCTTGGTGGTTATGGAAGCAGGTGAAAACGAATTCCCAGGAGTTCCATTGCTGGGAGCTAATGAAGATTCTTGAGGTGATTCAGAGTTCTTCATCACTTCCCTTCCTGAGGAAACCTGAAAAGAACCAGGCAATTGATATGTCTCTTTGAAAGGAGTAGGAATAGCTGAAAAGATGAAGTCATAGTGTCAGAGACCTGAGTTCACCTTTATCAGCTATTTTATACCTAAATATCAACAACCTGAATAAACAAAGCAAGATGCTGTTTAACATCAAATATCAAGAAATTCAACAATCTTGGATTCAGTGGCTCTAAACTTACTTTGCAGACATATTCATCAAATAAATTATTGGCTATACTTTAAAGGAAGGAAGAATGAATGATTTATCCTAAACTAACCTAAACTAACTTACTAAGTGCTTGGAGCCATATTTCTTATTCCTTATGAATTAAGTTTACCAGCGAAGAAAGAGGTGAGATTGGTATTCTAAAAAAGGAAGTCCAAAGACATTCAGTTTGACAGAAAAGAAGGGAGTGGCGCTTTAACATCGCCAGAAATGCAACAGACTCAGCATTTCAAACTAGCAAAATTTGTTCATACGATATTTATTTTCTACAATTTCCATATATTTTACATTTTTTAGTTAACGGGGATAAGTATTCTCTTGATAACATAGGCAGCTGGCCAAACACATTTGTCCTATTAAATTAAATAACAGTATAACCATGTTCAATTGCTGATCATGAACCATGAATTACAAATGATGATGGCACGAACATTAGAAAATGATTTCTAGTACATACAAAATAAATGAGTAAAAGCATCTCAAGTCACAGCAGTTTCACTTCACCCCAACCCAAAAAGAAACCATCACAATGTTTTTTCATATAAATTTGAATCTTTTCAGTATTTACAACCACTCCAGTTATTCCATATCAAAAAGTCGAAGACAAAAAGGAAACCTACGGGAGGAAAGGAATGCAATTATTTTACTTCTGTCATAAAATGAAATAAATAAGTAAAGAACCAACATAAAAACAACGGAAGTGATTTTGACTAAAACAATCCCTATATCTTGACCAACAAGTTTATATCTGCAAAAATGGAAGCAGAATCACTGTAAACTAGTAAGATTTTGGAAAAATGGAAAGTAAGGAAGAATTAGCATGTGGATCAACCAGAATCCACTATCCAACTAAATCCATTTCATGTTCATGTCCAAAGAAAAATCGCATAAAAAGAGTCACAATTTCTTGGCCAACAATCGAATATCAATGGAAGCAAAATTGCCAAAACAAGCAAAGAAATTGAATTTTGACAAATCAAAGAATGCAGAAGTATTAGTGGGACACAAACCAACCAAAATCCACTGTCCAATTAAATCCATTTCAAGCTCAAGTCAAACAAGAATCACATAAAATCCCTTTCATCGTAAAAAGGAAAAACAAAAATTACAAAGTCTATGAGAGTCACAATCAGTAAACTAAGGTGCAGGATCAGATAATCACCGGTAGAATCATTTAGCACTCTGCAAAGTTAAAAGAATAACAACAAGAACATCCCAAGTAAAATCACATAAAATCATCATCTTTCACTTGCTCAAATCATAATTACACACAAAAAAAGGTGACTACTTTCCCCACCACCCGAAAACAGAATTTCAATCAATAAAATTCTTAGAAAAAAACGTTAATAACATGTCAGAAAGCAAATAACCAATAACACAAAGCTCTCCCAATAACCAAGCCATACTAAACCAAACCAACAACACAAAAAACCCAACAAATCAGCCTATTACTAATATAAAACACAAACAACCCAATTCATAACTAAGCACAACTAACTAAAAAACAATCAAATTCAACAACAGAAACTCTTTTAAGAATTGGGTATCAAAGCTTAATCTAAATTATGGTCAATATATAAAAGCAACAATTTTTAAATAAAAAAGAAAAAATTCACAAAGGGTATCAAAGAATCTTACTTGGAATGATGTTGAAATCAAGAACGAATAAACCCCCGAGAAGTTAGAAAAGCTGATATGTTGGAGGCCAAAAAGCCAAAGTACCAAAGCAGAGAGGAGAACAACATAGGAATGAAATATTCGTCCTTGATTAACACATGTGGTGGCGTTGTTTATTTTATTTGTTATTTTTTTATCTCATTTCTTCTCGGTTTTAACAAAGACAAGAATTTTATTACAAGAAGCAGGAAACGAACTTCGTACTTGTGCTTCTTTTTTTAGCGAAAACCATATTTCCGCCCCTTTGGTTTCTCATTTTTACAAGAAATACCCTATAATTCCATTCATTCCTCTTGCATTTTAAATAAATATGCTCAAGTATTAAAAATAATTTCTTTTAAATATATAATAAAAATATCGTTAGAATTTTTATCCCGTGAAATTGCATTGTGATTTGTGACCTTTATAATAAGAGAATGAAATCTTGCCATCACTAATTTCCAAAACTCACAAGGGTTTATTTGTAAAAATGATAAAATTCAAGGGGTGTAAGTAGAGTTTATCATTTTTGGAATTTAGATTTTCACAAACTTCAATTTCCTTCTATGGCAGTAAATTCTACAATGACAGAAGTTATTAGTATGGTATTTTTTCCTTGTACTTTTCAAATGAGGACAAAATTTGAAGCTAAAATCAATTGCATCCTTTAGTCAAACAATAAGGAAAAGCATAGGAAAGTACTCCATACAAACTTTCCCATTCTATTACATTTTATAAAATATCTTTAAAATAAATTATTATATTTTATAATTAAAGTAAAGTTAAAATTACTTAAAAAATTTAAAAATTTTTATATTTTTAAAATTTATACAAAATTAGAAAATTGGCATGTACTCAATAAAAAAATAAAATAAGTTAGTAAATTAAACAAATAACCTTTTTTCTTTGCCAGGAACTGCTTTTGTAGTTCAAGTGTAACGAATATTAGTTGTAATAACAAAACTTAACAATTGGTATGTTTGTTACACTTTGCTTGGGGACATCCAAATTTTCCTCGTACAAATTTACGTCCACCCATGTTGATGTCTAGCGAGGTGGCCTGCGAGTCGTTTGGAGTTCGTTGTGCTCTCTCTTCACCATTTTACTTCTTCTATATATGTAAAATTAACATAAAACAAGTGTTTTTCTCTTGTGAAAGGACAGAGCTTCTCTGGTTTGCAAAGATATGGCGAAAGAGTTATCAAAGCATGCCATGGAAACAGTGGCTAAGAGGGCACCTCTCACTGCACAGAGGAAAGTCAGGAGTGATCTTGATATTAAGCTTCCAAAACCCTGTAATTTTCTATCTCTCCCTTTTCTCTTTCTTCGAAATTAACTTTTTTTTTTTTCTATTTGTTTCTGTTTATTTCTTGTAATGGTCGTTCAATTTCAAGTTCCATTACCCTTTGATTGTTGGGTTAGATTGAAGCTTCTGTATGAATGAGTTGTTTCTGTTTTTATCAATATTGGCAATAGTCTGCTACTTTAAGAAACAGACCTATGTCTGGAAACCTCGACTGATCATCTGATCCTAGCTAGGGGACATCAAATATTGGGAAAGTTAAGGTTTTTTAAGACAGTTTAATAGTTTTGGAGGTTGGGATTTGAAATAGAGGTCTTGATTTTTTGAGGGAAAAGTGTGAATTTATGCCTCAGAAACTTTCCATCACAATATATTTTGAAATTGTTATTGCTTAGATGAACTTGAACTGCGGATTAGCAAAAAATCAGTAGACTGAGGGAAGAATTGGGGATTGAATCTCATTATTATTGCCAACTGTGAGAACAAAAGCAAAAAAAAAAAAAAAAAAGAAAGGTAGATTAATTACTGTTAAAGAAGGTGGGATTTTCTGAATGTTTTTAAGAATGGAATTTGAACATTTTGGTATCAGTGGGATTGATACTTATCCTGGAAGCTCTATTTTGAGGAGGACCCCAACTTGATCAATAAATTAAACAAAAAATTACACTGCATAAAGGGCTAAAATTTTTCTAAATATACTCTTCTGTGTTTCTTTAGACTTGGCTCGAGCCATGGCTGCACCTGATGTGGATAATGTGAATGGAACATGGGGCCACAAGCATTGTGACATGTCTGTGCTTCAGCAGCATGCTGCCTTCTTCGACCAGAATGGTGATGGTATAATCTACCCTTGGGAGACACTAAGAGGTGTGTCACATGCAACTGAAAGTTCCCATTTCATTTTCTGGGAAAAGAGCAAGCAATAAATTGAAGGACAAATAGCAGTTGAATTACAGTTTATAACCCAAAGTTTTACTGAATCAAAAAGCCATCAGCGTACCATCAGGTTTTGGAACTTGAATTATTGGATTGAGATGGTATGAAAATATTAACTTAATATAATCCAGAGACTAAACTTTGGTTATTAATTAGCTTTCTGCAGTTAAATAATGAAGAATTATGCTTGGGTCCATTAATGTCTTGGTAGGATGCTAAGACTAAGTAGAAATGGAGGAGGCTGGAATAGAGGATTATATATATACAATATTGAGTCAGATTCAACTAGGTGCAGATGAATTCAATTGGACTTAGCTGGACCTCTTCCTCTTATTGGGGCGTTCATAATAAATCCAAACTCTAATATTCAACAGGGTTAGGCTTGTTATCTATTTGATTTTGTTTGAACAAGATATCATCATAGTGGTTATTTGAAAATCATTCATGTCAAGTTCGCTGGTTGTTACAAGTCACAACTCATAAGTCCTTTAACTTTCCTATGTTTAAAGGATTTCGTGCTATTGGTTTCAATCTGATTGCCGCTTTCATCTTCACTATCATTGTTCATGTGACTATGAGCTATCCTACTCTTCCTGTAAGAACTGGAATTTGTCTTTTCCACTTCAAAGCTGCTTGTTTCACTGTTTCAGCAACTTATTATACTTTGTCTTCCTACAGACATGGATACCCTCACCTTTCTTCCCAATATACATACTAAACATACATAAGGCAAGGCATGGAAGTGATTCAGGAACCTATGATACAGAGGGAAGGTAAGATGATTGGTCCATGACATCAATGTGCATGATGACAACTTCTTCTTGATCTTTTCCTCTTTTTTCTGTCTTTCTATTTTTTCCCTTCTTGAAGTGAAAAATGAGCTTCAAAATTTGGCTTAATAAAGCAAAAGAAAAGTGTAAAATGAAGTCCAAAGTTCCAGGAACTGTTATTCAAATGTCATCATTTTGAAATGAAAACATTTGAGATGAATTTAATTCCTTTCTACCACCATGGTTGCAATCAGCATCATGAATATATGCTTTCCAAGTTTGTGCCATGTGAAATTTGTTCTAAAAGTGGCTGGTTATGCTTACCTACTTATATTCATTTTTTTCTATCAATAACTAAATATAATATAGCAAATCCTTGTTTATGGATATAGTCCCCTTGATAGTGCTTATTTAGTCACAAATGTGAAGTTAAAATTCATTGTCAACTTAAACATATTACTTGCAGGTTCATTCCAGCAAATATGGAGAATATATTCAGCAAATATGCTTGCACAGTGCCTGATAAGCTCTCATTGAGGGAGCTGTGGTGCATGACTGAGGCAAATCGCAGTGCATTTGATTTCTATGGCTGGTAACTTTTAGGTCTCAAACCTGCTTTTTTGTACACTCAAATGTCAGTTTACAGCAAGCACAGCATGCTGAAACATTTTTCTTTCAATTTATTTGTTGCTGTAGGATTGCAAGCAAGTTTGAATGGGGTGTTCTGTACATCCTTGCAAAAGATGAAAAAGGATTCTTATCAAAGGAAGCTGTGAGACGATGTTTTGATGGAAGCTTATTTGAATATTGCGCCAAGATGCAAAAGGATGCGGCTTATTAGATGAGATGATGCTTCAAGAGAGCTTATAGTCAGAAGACAAAGCCCTACATATAATTGCTAAAGTAGCAATTATCTTAATCTATGATATGAATTAGTAGCTTTGAAGGGTTGAAAGCTTTGTCTACAATACACATCTAAATTTTACATGCAGTTCTTTTCTTGATGAAGGTGAGATATGTTATCATATTTTTCTTTGTTATTATAATGAAATATTCATGCATTGCATTATCCTGTTGTACAGAACAAGTCCATAAACATAAATATTGATAAAATTCCGAACCTAATTACACTTAGGAAAAAATGATGTTGTTACTAAATCCTAAACTACATCTTCAAGAACCAAAAATTGTAACGGCAACGTCGCCTAATGCCTAGACGAACTCTGTCAAAAAATCCATCTCATAAGCTCACTAATGGGCTGATGAGCTTAAAGCAATGTGTTCTTGCTTCTTCTTTGGGACATAATAATGAAATGATGTAGCACCAAAATTCTCTTTACAGGTTAATAGTCTTAACATGATGTGCTGCAATAGATAGTTTCCCTTGAGCACTAATAGTTTCTCCCTAGTCCCTAGAGACTTACTATGAGTTATGATATGCAGTCCAGCAGGGTAGGATCAATTTTACTGCCTAAGCTGCTCTTCTCTCGATTCCATTTCCTGGTTGATTCTTTGTTCTCTGCCTTGCCTCTATTCTCCTCAAGGTCCAATTACAAATTTGAGGGTGCGTAGTTTCGTCCACTCCATAAAGAAAACATATATTACATGTTTTGACAATGCAAACTGCATTATTGATAAATAGGGAAATCATTTAAAATTTTTTGTAATTTAAATTTGATTTCCTAAGAACTTATTATAGTCTGAAGTAGATTTATTTGAACCTGGCTTTATCTATTATGATTTCATTTATTATTACCGTGGATGGACTTCTTCTGGAGAACAGGACCAGCTAACTCTGTTACTCTTAGGTGCTCAAAGGTTTCAATTACTCTTATGAGAAAAAAGGAGAAAAGGAGTTTCAGTTGCTATTATCATCTGAAAAAGATTTGCATTTGAGCAGAGTTTTAAAGGAGAAAATTATCACACTGCAAAGGTCTCAATTTTGCTCATGCCTCTAGATATTTAAGTAGTAATGCTAAAATGACATGAAACAATATTTTCCTTCAAGTATATATATGTGTGTGTGTGTATACATACATATATATATATATATATGTACTTTCCTTCAAGTGATGATAGTTTCATTGACGGAATTATGCTTCATCTAGGAAAGCAAGGGCAGAACTAACTAACTTTCTTAATTAGTCACTCTGCTGCTCTTTCTGTTGATGACTCCATTGCTGAATTTTCATTGTTGCTTTGCTCTTCCTCCTTTGAATCATCTGTGGACGCTTCGTTCTCAGCCTGCCTTGGGGTGTTCTCAAAGTCTAGTATCAGATTTGAGGATGACTCTTCTGTTGCTGCAATTTCTTCCTCCTGAGAAAGCATGGATTTTTCTGTCAGACTTCTGTAATCTTATAATTTTTTACGCTTATGGGACAGACGAATTTTATCTAGGAGATCATGGACTAAACATACCATATAGTTAAGCATGCATTCGATGTGAGCAACAAATAATCCTCCACATTCTTCACAAAAATAAATGTGATCTTTTGGAAGTCTTTCTTTTTCGCAAATTTCACAATAATACTCTCCTGAATCATCTTCTACAAAACAATCTCTCAGGGTGAGGGGGTGGATATGACATTTAGATTTGATGAAATGCGGGATTAAGACACATGCTAGATGAAAATTGAGACAGCACAATATGCAGCGATAGAAAGGCACACCACCAAGAGAGTACTTGCATCCATTACATATGGTAAGAGGATGCCCGTGATCTCCCATGAAGAGTTCCTGGCATTCTGTTCCAAAATAGAAAAGAGGATGCTCGTGAAGCTTGGATTCTAAGGCTCGCCTTAGGGAATTGGCACATGAAATATGGAGGTAGAATTCACACTGCTCACAATTATAGACGATGTCATACTTATCAAACGAGACACGCAGGCAAGACAGCCTGCATAAGGGCTTTTATTGACAATGGGGTGCAGGGGGTGCTCTGGATGAATTAACGAGAGTTGGATCTCCCTTGGAAATCCAAGACAAGATTCATGAAGAAAATAATGACAACGAATGCACCAATGGATTGGACCCGAGAGTAGTAGGAAGCAAATGCTGCACTTAAAATTTTTTTGGGGTTTGAGACTGAAATTGAGGAAGTAGAGCTCATGATCTTGGCTGAAAAGGCACAACTTTGATTCTCTGCCCATCTCTTTTCGCCTTTGACTCTCGTTATTAGGCGTTTTTATGGTAGCACATTTCACATCAACAATGAAACTACACAGGTAGCATACGTACATAAACCCAACCGAGAAGTCTCTACATTCCTCACATATAAATGGCTCACTACCAGCAAGAGCTTGAGAGGATGTTGGGTGTGAAGAGGGTGTAGCAGTCCATAGGACAATTTGGCGCATGTTTTGTGCAAGTAGTATTCGCAACTTTCACAGCCATAGCCTTCCCCATTAATTTCCAAATTGCAAGCCTTACAGAGAAGATCTTCCTTCTTTTCAATTACCTCATAGTAGTTTAGGGGATGTTGATGAGTAACATGTTCAATTTGCCTCTGAAAGGAAGAGGATTAAGTCAAGGGCAACAGCATATTTTGGTCTTAGGGGATTTGGTCGGCAATGAAAGGCTTTATCAGTAGTAGAAGATTTTGGTTTTCGCTTTTAAATCCAAGGTTTTCTTGAGATTTTTTTGTAAAAACTAATTGGATAGGAAGGAAAAGGGAATCAAGTAGATTTTTTTGGTGAAATTTGGTGACAATTCGGTGCCAATGGACGGCGGATGAAAGTGGATTAAGGCAGTTGCAACGGAAGAAGTTCATTGGATTCTGAGTTATCTATTATTAATATGATAATAGTTCAAATCAAATCAGATTTAATTTATTTTTTAAATAATATATAAAATTATGAAAATTTAAAATATAATTTGAATCAAAACCGAATTTTTATGTAATATGATCCTATTTAAATTGAATTTTATTGATTTGATTTGGTTTATTGATTTTTAAAATATTTTTGTTTTTATATATTATTTTAATATAATTTTTAATATATTTAAATATAAAATAATTATTTTATGTTATAAAAATTTAAAAAATATATAAAATTAATAAAAATATATAATTTAGTTCGGTTCAATTTTTATAAAATTTTTTGATTTTTTATTTAATATCCAAAATTAATTAAAATAAAAAAAGAGTAAATTTTGATACGAACTGAATCAAACATTATAATTTTGAATCGATTTTTTATTTTTTACCTTTAGTCCAGTATTGTTCTTGGATGCTGTTGAATTTACGGAGAGAAGTTAGAAAAAATAAGAGAAGAGAGAGAAGATGGAAGAATGTGAAGAATAAAAAAAAATTGGCTATTTAAGTAAGTTTGAAGCACTACCATTTTGAGACAGAAAGAAAGAAGGCTTGTCTAGGGCCTAATCCAAGTTTCTGACTCGTGCTCCAATCTGTAAATACTACGAATTTAAAGAAGAGTCTTAAATTTCACATCGAACATAATATGATGGTCATTGGGGTATATAAGGGTTCACATCACCTCCGTCTTGTGAGGCACTTTTTGTAGGATAAAACCGTGAGGTCAGGGGGCCAGAGCGGACAATACCTCACAAGGGTGTGAACCGTGGCGGAAGGCTGATTCTGGGACGCCAGAAGGGTGAATGCCCGGGTCCCGGAGTCGCGCGGGTTCGGAGCTTGAGTCTCGACCCGTGACAAGTGGTATCAGAGCCAGCCCTAAACCGTTCGATCCACGCCAAATACCTTGAGAGAAGTAGGCAGGGTGATCAGCCTCCATGACGAGGGCGTCACAAGGTTGGATGCGGGAGAATGTCACGGACTTAAGGAAGAGTCCTGAATCCCACATTGAACATAATAGGAGGGTCACTGGGGTATATAAGGGTTCACACCACCTCCGTCTTGTGAGGTGCCTTTTGTAAGATAAAACCGTGAGGTCAGGGGACCAGAGCGGATAATACCTCACAAGGGTGTGAACCGTGACGGAAGGCTGATCTGGGACGCCAGAAGGGTGAATGCCTGGGTCCCGAAGTCGCGCGGGTTCGATATAATTTTATTTTTATATATATTCAATTATTTTTAGTTTTATTTTATATTATTTTCTTTAGCTTTATTAATTTCTTGTTATCTTATTTATTTCAATTTTTTCTTTTACTTATCTATTTATTTTAAATGTTTAGATTTTCGAATTAGGAATGTGTTTTAATTATTTGATAAGTAGATGAAAAGTGTATATACGGTAAATTATAATTGATAAATTAAGTATATTCTATTCTCATAATGTTATTTATAAAAAATTTTAACAATAAATGAAAATTATTTTGATGATGGAATTCTGGAAAATCATTATTGGTTGTTGATTTTTAAGAATTTTTCATGTGAGAGATTTTTTTTTAATTTAGCTTGATTGACGAAAAATTTATAATAAAAATTTCAAAAAATTTTGATATTTATTTTCAAATGAGAATAAACAAAATAAAAAATTTAAAATACACAAAAATTACACCAATTATAGAATTCTTAAAATTCAAGATTGGTTGATTTTTTAAGAAATTTCTAAATGAGAGATTTTAAAAAAATTAGACAAATAAATGAAAATTTTAGATAAAAATTTCCATGACAAAAATTGATATTTATTTTTAAGAAAAAGAATAAAATTAGAAAATTAGAATAATGGAAATTGAAGAATTAAATAACAAACTTTTTTTTCCAAAAAATATTAAAATAAATTTGACGAAGAAACTTCTTGAAGAAAACAATTGAGATTTTTTAATATTTTTGAAATGAAAAAAAGTTTTTCAAAAATTTTTTCAAATAGGAGAAAAACTTAAAAATTCTTTATAATATTTTAATAATAAATTAAAAATAAAAAATCATTTTAATCAAGATAATTTTTAGAATAATTTAAAATTAATTGATACTATTTTATGATGAGTGTTGTAGGGGTGTTAAAACATTTATTATATATAACTAAACTCTCAAACGTAATTTTAATAAATAAATTAATTTTATTCTTTTAAGTAATTTTAGTTAACTTAAGACATCTTTAAAAGAATAGAATTGTTTGGTGACAAATCACAGTTAAATAAAAAAAAATGGTGACAACTCTTAAATTTATATCTAACGATCAAGTTGTTGAACTTTTACGTTATGACATATAGTAATCTTTTTTGAATTTATTGATTGGTTAGTGTTTAATGTTATGCAATAAATTTTGGTTTTTTTGGTAAACCCTTACATTTGATCTAAGTTTAAGTATCAATGAAATTTAATTAAGGGAGTTAACTATTACGTAAATTGAGACTAACCTTTTCATTGTGAACCAATATCCCTTTTAGTTCCATCCTTTTGTTAGCAATCTCTGGTTTGTCAAAATTCTTTTCTGTTCGTTGATTCGAAAACATTTCTTCTGTAGGTTCAACCTAATAATAGTGTAAGCACAAAGTTTAATATTCATGGTTTCATCCAAATTCAACTAGGAAAAAAAATTGTTATAATACACTCAACATGAATTTGCTCATACAATTAATTAAAGGACTATAATTTATTTGCTCGTGTCTTACCTCAGGAATGACACAATCAATATGTCCAATATAAGTGCATTCTTTGCAAAAATAAACATGATGTTCTGCATTCCTTTCTGTCTCGCACATATCACAGTAATAATCTCCCGAATCATCTTCAACAAAAAGATTTTTAAGCACAAGTGGATGCAAGTGACGTTTGTGTTTAACAATTAGAGGTAGTTGAATACACTCAACATCTATATAGAAATCACACTTTATGCAGCCGAAGAAAGAATCATCGCAATCTTTATAACAAGCATCACAAGATATATTACTGATAATGCTCTTCCCCAAATGTAGAAGATGGTGAGGATGGCAATTGTGCTTTATAGCCCGAGTTCGGTACTTAGTACATGAAACGTGCATGTTAACATCACATTGATTACAGTAGAAGCTGATACCCTTGACTTCTTCCTTACAAGCACTGCATCTGTAAGAAGAACCCTTATGGATCTGTCGAGCGAGAAGAATATGTTGTGGGTGAAATGGACTTTGAAGTACTTGTCTTGGCATGTCATTTACACATGATTCATGAATGACCAATCGACAATGAATGCAGGTATAGATTAGAATATCATGGAGTTTCTGTTTGCATGCCATGCACTTGGGCTTTTCTAGCTTCCATAGATACTTAAAAATTTCTTTACCCAACACCGTCTTCAACAAAGAAAACTTGCAGCGGGTCAGTTGATGATTGTGGCTGAAATGATGAATTGTGGTTTTAATTCGTCTCCCTTCCTGTAAGGCCTCATGGTTAGCTAGCTCACAATCATTTGAAATAGTGACAGCGCATCTGAAATCAAGGTTGAATGTACAATTCATGCAACTGTAACTGAATGAAAATGCCCGCAATATTTCACATCGGTCACACACAATCACGTTGCCCAGAGTGAATCTTAGCGGGTGGGGGTGAAAAGCATCTCTTTGCATTTGAGGGGGCAATTCAGCACATGATTTGTGCATATCAAACATGTTACATTTTTCACAAACATATGCTGGACCACAAATGATATCCAGGCACCCAAAGCAACTCATAGTATTGTTCTCCTTACCCACCTCTATAAAGGTCAAGTCGTGGTTGTGAAGAAAATGTTTGAACTCCATGTTATGTTTATAGGACAAAAAAAAAGGTAGAACAATGAAAGAGTGAGCGCAGTAACTGCAAGTTGAAGAGTTCTTGAACAAAGAAAATTTATTGTTTTTAACCTCTTTTCCTTCAACGAGGATTGCTTTTTATTTAATTTTCAAACATGACTTTAAGTAAATCTTAATTAGTTTAGGAATCAATCTAAAAGTTTACAATTGAAAGATAATAAATTTTTAAAAATTTTGCTTTTTCTATCTAATTTTGAGTGCTTGCTTGAGGAATTTTATTTGGTTGGAGTGCATTTGACCAACAATTTTTTTTATTACAATATAGTGCAATTAGTCAATTATAAAAAAAATAATTTTTAAGAATTCACTATTTATAAGCATGTTTGCATAATATTTTAATGGATAGTATGCAATTTTGAATTGTGATAAATTAATTATAGTGCAATAATATTTAAATTGAACCATAAAATGCACAAGTAATAAAAATAAACTCCATCTATCTGCGTAAATATACAATTTTCATTATATACCAACAAAGATATATAAAAGGGCATTATTGCTAGTCATGGTGCTAGCTTTATCCTTTCGGACATTAATAAATCTATTTGTCTTAGAAAAAATATATAAAAGAGCTAACTATATCTAATATAGTTATTAGTTACTAATTAGTAAACTTTTAACTTGTAAATATTTATACAAAAAATTATGGAATAAAATTAAATGTTTGAATAGTAATTACTTTCCAAAAATAAATAAAATTCATATAAAGTTTTATATACCTACATTACATGCTATAAATCACCCAATACAACTTTTTCTTTTGGAGAAAAGAAAAAAAATTGCATATGATCACTTTTCTACATGACAAGCAAGCACATGATTACCTTTACACCAAGCAAATGTGTAGTTAGAAAATGATAGTGACAATGAAATAATGAGTATAAATTAAAGATTGTAATTCGAAGGTAACAATAACAACTTTATAGTATTTAGCTTATTCATCAAGAATTGACTTGAATATTTGGGTCAATTGTACGTGTGTGTGTGTGTGGTTCAATGAATGATTTTAATATTTTTTTTCTCCAAAACAAAAGAAATTGCGTTTCCACCAAGTGAAGCACAAATTCCTGCCTTAGGCTAGTAGATATGTCACGGGTCGAGACTTAAGCTTTGAATTCGTGCGGTTTCGACACCCGAGCATCTACTCATCCGGCGTCTTAGATCAGCCTAACCATCACGGTTCACACCCTTGTGAGATATTGTCCGCTCTGACCCCCTGACCTCACGATTTTATCCTATAAAAAGAATCTCATAAGACAGAGGTGGTGTGAACCCTTTTATACTCCAGTAACCCTCCTATTATGTTCGATGTGAGATTCATGACTTCTCTTTAGATCCGTGACAGATATACTTTGCTCGACAGATACAACAATTTGCATAAAGATAACTTCTCTTTCTTTTATTTCTTATACCTTTTTTTATTATTATTTTTTTAAAAGTTGAAGTTATTGGTTAAAGATTAAATCCTGATAATTGAAATCTAAATGAATATATATTCTTCACTAGATTCCGATTTATTAAGAAATTTTATACTAGGGATAGATGTCAATAAATTGCTGATAGCTTCAATCAAAGGAAAGTAACATATTCTAAAAATCCAATTATTCCTTACCATTGCTTTACTCATACAAGATATGATTCCTATTTCTGTACAAAGTGCAGGAATCTTATCCAACAAGGACCTTTGTTTAAGTGTACAGCTCAACAACTAAACTTTTGAGAGTAACATATAGTGGGATAATAAGGTTACCCTTCATCAATTTCTATACAAGCAGACTTACTCTTGGGATATTAACATATTAATTATCTTTTTAATTTCCTCCCACAAAGTAATATTGTAATCCTATAAATTCATCATTTGTCATAATTAAAGGTAATTAATTATGTTGTATTAAGGAATAAATCATTTGTTTTTTTTAAAGATACAATGAAATTTAATGTTTGAATTCTTTTTCTCCAAAAAAAAAAAAATTTCCTGCCTTGAGCTAGTAGAGGAACTTTAATTATCTTTTTAATTTCCTCCCACAAAGCAATATTGCAATCCTATAAATTCATCATTTGTCGTAATTAAAGGTAATCAATTACGTTGTATTAAGGAATAAATCATTTTTTTTTTTTTTGAGATACAATGAAATTTAATGTTTGAATTCTTCTTCTCCAAAAGGAAAAAAAAAAAAAAAAAACAAATTCCTGCCTTGAGCTAGTAGAGGTACTTTTCTTGACATATATATATATATATATATATATATATAAACAATTCCCATAATTAATATACTTAGATCCCTTGCTTTTAACTCCCCTTAACTTTCGGTGAGTTTCAATAGTTTGATTGTTTTTGAAGTTCTGGTCGTGAGATCGATTGACTTTAATCTATAAATTGCTCATAACTTTGACCAAAAGAAAGTGTTATAAATATATATATATATATATATATATATATATTCTCTAAGGGCCCAATTATTCTTTGATGCCTCACTGAAGCAAGATGCTTCTAAGTTCTTTGGAGTTGTATTAATTACAAAATGCAAAATATTGGTCCAATGCAAGAGATGGCTCAAATGTTAACATTGGGGAGGACATCATGTGCAGGAATCCAAGATACCTTACATCCACCAATTTCAAGCCCCCGAGCATTTTTTTGATCAGTCCTTTATTACTATTTAATTGTGTATGTGATTTAGAGATATTATTTACAATTATCGGCTTGAAGTTTATATTTATAATTTTAAAATTTAATTCAATTGGTTCATATAATTATATAATTTAAATTTTAACACATTCAATCTCTTTTTTTATCTCTAAATTATAATCTCATATGCAAAAAAAAAAAAAAAAAACTTATATCTATAAATATTTCACATATCTAATTTATATGCTTTTCTTTTTTAGTTTCATCAACTCATAGTTCACGCTAAGTTGGAATTGTAAAATGTGCATTTAAAATTCTTAATATCACTAAATATTAATTTCATAATTAATATTAGGAAAGTTAAAGGTTTTTCTAACACAGTTCAATAGTTTTGGAGGTTGGGGATTTGAAATAGAGGTCTTGGTTTTTCTAGGGAAAACTGTGTAGTTATACCTCATAATCTTTCTATCACAACATTCTTTTCAATTGTCATTGCATAGATGGGCTCGGACTGCAGATTAGCAAATAATCAGTAGATCGAAGGAAGAATTGGGGCTTGAATCTTACTATTGTTGCCAAAATGTGGGAGCAAAATAAAAAAAAAAAATGTTGGATTAATTTCTGATGTTTTCAAGAATGGAATTTGAACATGTTGGTATCAGTGGGACTGATATTCATCCTGGAAAGCTGCTCTGTTTTTAGGGCTAACCTCAATTTGATCAATAAATTAAAAAAAGTTTACACTGCATGAAGGACAAAATTTTACTAAATCTACTCTTCTGTGTTTCTTCAGACTTGGCTGGAGCCATGGCTGCACCTGATGTGGATTATTAAAGTGAATGGAACATGAGGCCACAAGCATTGCAACATGTCTTTGCTTCAGCAGCATGCTGCCTTCTTCGACCAGAATGGTGATGGTATAATTTACCCTTGGGAGACACTAAGAGGTGTGTGACATGCAACTGAAAGCTCCCTTTTCATTTTCTGGGAAAAGAGCAAGCACTATATTGAAGGATGAATAGCAGTTGAATTACAAATTATAACCCAAAGATTTACTGAATCAAAAAGCCATTAGCTTACTATCAAGTCTTGGAACTTGAATTATTGGGATTGAGATGGTGCGAAGATATTAACTTAATATAATCCGGAGACTAAACTTTGGTTATTAATTGGCTTTCTGAGGTCAAATAATGAAGAATTTTGCTTGGGTCCATTAATGTCTTGGTAGGATGTTAAGCCTAAGTAGAAATGGAAGAGGCTGGAATAGAGGATCATATATATACACTATTGAGTCAGATTCAACTAGGTGCCGATGAATTCAGTTGGACTTAGCTGGGCCTTTTCCTATTATTGGGGCATTAATAATCAATCCAAACTCTAAAATTCAACAGGATTAGGCTTTTTATCTATTTGATTTTGTTTGAACAGGATCCCATCATAGTTGTCATTTGAAAATCATTCATGTCAAGTTCGCTGGTTGTTACAATTCAGAAGTCACAACTCATAAGTCCTTTAACTTTCCTATGTTTAAAGGATTTTGTGCTATCGGTTTCAATCTGATTGCCGCTTTCATCTTCACTATCATTGTTCATTTGACTATTAGCTATCCTACTCTTCCTGTAAGAACTAGAATTTGTCTTTTCCAGTTCAAAGCTGTTTGGTCCACTGTTTCAGCAACTTATTATACTTTGTCTTCCTACAGACATGGATACCCTCACCTTTCTTCCCAATATACATACTAAACATACATAAGGCAAGTCATGGAAGTGATTCAGGAACCTATGATACAAAGGGAAGGTAAGATGATTGGTCCATGACAGCAATGTGCATGAAGACAACTTCTTCTTGATCTTTTCCTCTTTTTTTCTGTCTTTCTATTTTTTTCCTTCTTAAAGTGAAAAATGAGCTTCAAAATTTGGCTTAATAGAGCAAAAGAAAAGTGTAAAATGAAGTCCAAAGTTCCAGGAACTGTTATTCAAATGTCATCATTTTGAAATGGAAACATTTGAGATGAATTTTATTCCTTTCTACCACCATGGTTGCAATCAGCATCATGAATATATGCTTTCCAAGTTTGTGCCATATGAAATCTGTTCTAAAAGTGGCTGGTTATGCTTTCCTACTTATATTCATTTTTTTCTATCAATAACTAAATATAATATAGCAAATCCTTGTTTATGGATATAGTCCCCTTGATAGTGCTTATTTAGTCACAAATGTGAAGTTAAAATTCATTGTCAACTTAAATATATTACTTGCAGGTTCATTCCAGCAAATATGGAGAGTACATTCAGCAAATATGCTTGCACAGTGCCTGATAAGCTCTCATTAAGGGAGCTGTGGTGCATGACTGAGGCAAATCGCAGTGCATTTGATTTCTATGGCTGGTAACTTTTTGTCTCAAACCTGCTTTTTTGTACACTTGAATGTTGGTTTACACGAAGCACAGCATGCTGAAGCATTTTTCTTTCAATTTATTTGCTGCTGTAGGATTGCAAGGAAGTTTGAATGGGGTGTTCTGTACATCCTTGCAAAAGATGAAAAAGGATTCTTATCAAAGGAAGCTGTGAGACGATGTTTTGATGGAAGCTTATTTGAATATTGCACCAAGATGCAAAAGGATGCGGCTTATTAGATGAGATGATGCTTCAAGAGAGCTTATAGTCAGAAGACAAAGCCCTACATATAATTGCTAAAGTAGCAATTATCTTAATCTATGATTTGAATTAGCAGCTTTGAAGGGTTGAAAGCTTTGGTCTACAACACACATCTAAATTTTACATGCAGTTCTTTTCTTGATGAAGGTGAGATATGTTATCATATTTTTCTTTGTTATTATAATGAAATATTCATGCATTGCATTCTCCTGTTGAACAGAACAAGTCCATGAACGTAAATATGGATAAAATTCCTAACCTAATTACAGTTAGGAAAAAGTGATGTTGTTACTAAACCCTAAACTATGTCTTCAAGAACCAAAAATTGTAACAGCAACGTCACATAATGCCTAGACAATCTCTGTCAAAAAATCCATCTCATAAGCTCACTAATGGGCTGATGTGCTTAAAGCAATGTGTTCTTGCTTCTTCTTTGGGACATAATAATGAAATGACGTAGCACCAAAATTCTCTTTACAGATTAATAGTCTTAACATGATGTGCTGCAATAGATAGTTTCTCTTGCGCACTAATAATTTCTCCCTAGTCCCTAGAGAGTTACTATGAGTTATGATATCCAGTCCAGCAGCATAGGATCAATTTTGCTGCCTAAGCTGCTCTTCTCTCGATTCCATTTCCTGGTTGATTCTTTGTTCTCTGCCTTGCCTCTATTCTCCTCAAGGTCCAATTCCAAATTTGAGGGTGCATAGTTTCTTCCACTCCATAAAGAAAACATATATTACATGTTTTGACAATGCAAACTGCATTATTGATAAATAGGGAAATCATTTAAAAGTTTTTGTAATTTAAAGTTGATTTCCTAAGAACTTATTATAGTCTGAAGTAGATTTATTTGTACCTGGCTTTATCTATTATGATTTCATTTATTATTACTGTGGCTGGACTTCTTCTGGAGAACAGGACCAGCTAACTCTGTTACTCTTAGGTACTCAAAGGTTTCAATTACTCTTATGAGAAAAAGGAGAAAAAGGAGTTTCAGTTGCTATTATCATCTGAAAAAGATATGCATTTGAACAGAGTTTTAAAGGAGAAAATTATCACACTCCAAAGGTCTCAATTTTGCTCATGCCTCTAGATATTTAAGTAGTAATGCTAACATGACATGAAACAATATTTTCCTTCATATATATATATATATATATATATATATATATGCACTTTCCTTCAAGTGATAATAGTTTCATTGATGGAATTATGCTTCATCTAGGAAAGCAAGGGTAGAACTAATTAACTTTCTTAATTAGTCACTCTGCTGCTCTTCTGTTGATGCCTCCATTGCTGAATTTTCACTGTTGCTTTGCTCTTCTTCCTTTGAATCATCTGTGGACACTTCGTTCTCAGCCTGCCTTGAGGTGTTCTCAAAGTCTAGTATCAGATTTGAGGATGACTTTTCTGCTGCTGCCATTTCTTCCTCCTGAAAAAGCATGGATTTTTCTGTCAGACTTCTTTAATCTTATAATTTTTTACGCTTATGGGACAGACGAATTCTAGGAGATCATGGACTAAACATACCATATAGTTAAGCACGCATTCAATGTGAGCAACAAATAATCCTCCACATTCTTCACAAAAATAAATGTGATCTTTTGGAAGTCTTTCTTCTTCGCAAATATCACAATAATACTCTCCTGAATCATCTTCTACAAAACAATCTCGAAGGGTGAGGGGGTGGATGTGACATTTAGATTTGATGAAATGCGGGATTAAGACACATGCTAGATGGAAATTGAGACAGCACAATATGCAGCGATAGAAAGGCACACCACCAAGAGAGTACTTGCATCCATTACATATGGTAAGAGGATGCCCGTGATCTCCCATGAAGAGTTCCTGGCATTCTGTTCCAAAATAGAAAAGAGGATGCTTGTGAAGCTTGGATTCTAAGGCTCGCCTTAGGGAATTGGCACATGAAAGATGGAGGTAGAATTCACACTCCTCACAGTTATAGACGATGTCATACTTATCAAACGAGACACGGCAGGCAAGACAGCCTGCGTAACGGCTTTTATTGACAATGGGGTGCAGGGGATGCTCTGGATGAATTAACGAGAGTTGGATCTCCCTTGGAAATCCAAGACAAGATTCATGAAGAAAATAATGACAACGAATGCAATACTGGATTGGACCCGAGAGTAGTAGGAAGCAAATGCTGCACTTAAAATCTTTTTGGGGTTTGAGACTGAAATTGAGGAAGTAGAGCTCATGATCTTGGCTGAAAAGGCACAACTTTGATTCTCTGCCCATCTCTTTTCGCCTTTGACTCTCGTTATCATGCGTTTTTATGGTAGCACATTTCACATCAACAATGAAACTACACAGGTAGCATACGTACATAAACCCAACCGAGAAGTCTCTACATTCCTCACATAGGAATGGCTCACTACCAGCAAAGAGCTTGAGAGGATGTTGGGTGTGAAGAGGGTGTAGCACTTCATAGGACAATTTGGCGCATGTTTTGTGCAAGTAGTATTCGCAACTTTCACAGCCATAGCCTTCCCCATTAATTTCCAAATTGCAAGCCTTACAGAGAAGATCTTCCTTCTTTTCAATTACCTCATAGTAGTTTAGGGAATGTTGATGAGTAAAATGTTCAATCTGCCTCTGAACGGAAGAAGAAATGACAGGGTGAACATAACTTTTTTTTTATTTTTACAAACACTTTGACATCTGATAAACAATTTTGCCATTTTTATAAGTGCCCCATACTGTAAATTGGTCCTGTATGTGTCATATAAATTGAGGTACTATGCAATATTGTTAGTTTTTTCACCTACCTCAAGATCATGTTTTTGAGATTCTTCATTGCCCTTCTCTGCTTCCTCTTGTTGAATCAGTTCTGGCTTCAAAACTTTGCTATCCACCTAGCCAAATTAAGGTTGAATCATGGTCAAAATTTGTATTAACAAAACCAGGAGATTGAGGATATCTACTCTATACTAATTAAATCACCAAATCGAAAAGAAGTAGATTACCCTTGAAAGAGAGTAAGTCTTTACCTTATTAAGTGCACATTGAATATGAGCAATATATGTGCAATTTTTACAGCAATATATGGGATGTTTCGGTTTTCTTTCTTCCTCGCAGATATCACAAAAATATTCTCCAGAATCATCTTCTCTAAATCGGTTGACGAGTATAAGAGTATGCCTATGATATTTATGTATGACAGAAGGAAGAATTTCAAGACATTTTAAATGAAAATTAAAATCACATTGCACGCAACGATAAAACCTGTTTTGGATGTATTTGGCACCGATATTCTTATCACACATGTTACATTGGTATGTAACATTGGGATGTTTTATTTCAAAGTAACTGAGACCGTGGTCATGGATCTCATGTTTTAGGCTGGGTTGGAGTCTAGAGCAAAGAACATGAAGGCTGAATTGACACTTTTGACAACGATAGGCTTCACCCACGATTTCGTCTTTACAGGCATTGCAACAAGGCTTGGAGTTGTTGAACTTCATAGCTGGCTGTATGTAAAGAGGGTGTGATGTATGAAAGGGATGTCCCAAGATTTTGGTGGGTATGTTGCTCAAGCATGTTTCATGAATGTAGAACTTTTCGAAACATTCAAAACAGCCATAACACATTCCTGATAGATGCTTCTCACACCAACCACAACTGCGGTGTTTCTTTCCAACTTTTCTGTAATTGAATATACCCGTCAAGCGATCTCTGTGGACGAAATGATCGATTTTTCGGTATCTGCTATCAGATCTTCTGCTTTCCTTTTTCCCCAGTACTGTCTCATCATGAGTACTGTGAGCAGCGCATGAGACATCAATTTCCAAATTGCAATCATTGCAATGATATCTGTGGCCTCGAGAGAGAGTGAAACATTTGTCACAGATGAAATCGATGACATCGAAGTACAGGGTAAGGGGGTGTTGGGAATGGAAAGAGTGTGAAATCTGAGGAGGCAGTTGCTGTTCAGCACAAGCTGAGTGCAGCCAGAAGTTGCAGGTTTCACAATTATAAGCCCACCGATCAATTTTCTGATTGCATTTATCACAACTTGCGTCTTGATTGTTGTAATGATCAAACAACAAGTAGTGTTTATGTAGGAAAGGTTTGATGTCCATGTCTATTTCTCAAAACAAAGAGATTGCTAGAAAGATAAGAGCAAAGAGGAATTGGGACAACTACAAGGGATGGACGCAATTGAAGGTAATTCTTATGGGTGAGCCAAAGGATATATGCGGGCTGCATGTATAGTAGTCCTTTAATTTATTGAAAGACATAGAATATATTAAAACTTGAGCATTTTGTCTAGAGTTTAAAATGAAATAATACAAGTAACTGCTTTAAGAGATGTAAGGTCTAGAATTTTTTTTAATTCCTTTTTTTTTTCAACATTTTGTTCGGGAATTGTTCACTTTTAATTTATATAAAAAATTAACAATAAATTTATCAATTTTATCAATAAATAAAGTTTTTTAAAAATTTTTTTGAGGGTGTTCAAAGAATTTTTTTTTCAAATATTCTTATTTTTTAATTTTTAGTTGTACATAAACACCTTATCTTTACTTCTGCATCCTCCTTTGCTTTTTCATTGACCAATTGTCAAAAAAAAAAAAATGTAAGTTATATTACATATATAGAACAACGATTTCTTGAGTGATGGAAACATGTAGGCTATATACTAGTTCTATGCACACCTAGAATATGGGTAAATGTTAATTTATTATTAAGATAAATTTTATAAAGAAAAAAATTAAAAAATGCAATTACTTGAACATTGGAGAAGTAAGAAAAAAGAAATGCACACAGTTATTTAACATTGAGAAAAAAAAAGCTATAATATCGATTAGTTTTAAAATATTTAAAATCAATTCCTAAACTTAAATACCTTAAAACTATTTTTTATTTTATTTTTTAAAATTTTAAATATTTTTAATTGAATTGCTATCACTTGTGACATCAATTCAGTCATGGATTAAAATATTATAAATATAAACACTATAAACTTGATAATGGTAGATTAATAAACTGGGGTCTCATCTAGAGATATCCAATATTGAAAATTGGACTCGTTGAATAGAAATTCCTTTCTTTCTCTTACAAAACACAGCGTAGAAGGAAAGAATTTGTGTTCAACGAGTCCAATTTTTAATATTGGATATATTATCAATTTTTTTTTTTGGAAAGAAAGGAAAGGAGAGAATAAAGGAAGGAAATGTTTAAACTTTAGATACATCACATATCATTGTTAATTTGGTGAGCCATATTCAAGAAACATTGCTTTTCCATAAAGCGTAAAATTACTGATAATTAATATTGCTTTAACAATTTTGTATATTTTTTAGATGTTAAACAATTCAATTATCTGTGTTAGGAGCCGTGCTGAGCATCCAGTCTAGCTTGTCTCCACGGCCAATATAAAAAAAAATGTGTTTTTAATAAAATTACTAGTAAAAAAAATTATAATTATTATCAAGTATTATAAAATTATAAATACAAAAAAATTATAATAATAATAATCAAGTATTATATTTATATATAAAAAAATCATTGAATAATTAAACAAATAAATTAAAATATAACTAGACAAATTTAACATAAAATTAAATCAAATTCACACATAATAAAACTTAAACTTAAGATTTCAAAATTATAAGATGTCTTCTTTATCACTAAAATAAGGAAAATATATGTTTATATATATTTATTTATTTATGTAAACCTATTTTTTTTATAAAAACAAGTCATAATTGTGGATAAAAAAAATATAAATATTAAAAATTAAATCTAAAATATAATGAATAATAATTCTTAAAATAATTATATGAATCAATTAAGCTAAATTAATTGAATTCATTATTTATGTTTTATTGAATTCTAGTTTTTAAGTCATCCACTTGTGAATTTTATAATATTTAATTGTAATTTTATTACTGTAATCTAGCTGGTATGTGGCAGCACGATTTTTTTATCACTTGGTTTCTCAAAATTAACGTTGTTGTCCACCGGTTAATGTTATTAGTTACAGAAAATGACAAATTATAATGTTATATATAATAAGTTTTTGTAAGGAGAGTTTTTACGATGTTGTCTAAAATTATTCTAGTAAGTAAAATTTTTTTGGTCAATAAATAAATATTTTTACTAAAATTTTAAAAATATATTAATTATTGACTATATAATTTACTAAAAAATAATATTATAAATAAAATTTCAATTAATAATGTCATAACGTCTAGATCCGGGGATCTATCGCTAGACATTGACTTAAGGGAGTCGCCACCAATCTTTTTTATCTAGGTGTGATTGGCCACCTAAGGAATCTGTCCTTTTAGGGAACACCTAAGTTTAAGGGTCCCTAAAAGAATAGGTTCAGGTCTACTAACCAGAACAGAGTTCGGGAGTTCGGTTACGTGTGAGGAAGGTTATAGCACCCCCACAACGCCCATCAAAAGATGGTACCAGCTTAAATTTGTGTTATCCGAAAGCCTTAAAATTTTACCAAGTAATTAATTATTGGAAAATTTTCTCAATTGACTCTAATACTTTTAGCAGAAAATTGAGAAAATTCCCTCACCTCAAGAGTATGCAAGAAAAACTACTGTTTCACTTACAGAGGCTCCGTCGTCGGATTATTTAAAGAAAAAAACAAAATCAAAATTAAGATAGAAAGGAAGGAAAGAATGATTTTTTTTGTAGGAAAAATTGATACTTTCAACTTTTCCCCAAAAATATTTTTTTGGAAATTTATTTTTCTTTTAAGAAAATTGATACTTTCAACTTTTCCCTAAAAATATTTTTTGGAAATTTATTCTTAAGGAAAATTGATACTTTCAACTTTTCCCCAAAAATGTTTTTTTGAAATTTTATTTTTAAGGAAAATTGATACTTTCAACTTTTTCCTAAAAATCTTTTTTTTTTGAAATTTTATTTTTAAGGAAAATTGATACTTTCAACTTTTCCCTAAAAATATTTTTTTTGGAACTTTTGATTTTTTATTTAAAGAAAAAATAGAATAAAAAAATAAATAAAAAAAGAAAAGTAAAACAAAAAATAAAAATAAAATAAAGATAAAAAGAATATTAAATAAACCTAATCTAATAAATAAAAATAATAATAAATAAAAAAACAAATAAAAAAAATTCAAAAAAAAAAAAACTGGAGCCGCTCGGCTATCGGCTCGGCTCGGCTCAAGGAAGAAAAAACGGCTCAGGGGAGCGGCTTGGAGGTTCGGCTCGGCTCGGCTCGGCTTGGAGGAGGGCTGGCACGCGCCGGTCAGAAAGCGGGTCGACGCCCGGGTCGGGTCGGGTTCGGCAAAATGCGCGGATCCTCTGGGTTACTTAAGGCCAAAACGACGTCGTTTTGAGAGGGTATAAAAGGCAATCCCCTTCGTTTTTTCGACAGAACGCTCCTCCCTTCTCTCTCTTCTTCCCTTTTTCTCTCCCTTCTCTCTAAAAACCGAAGAACACCGGTGCCGGATTCTGGAAAATGTCGCCGGAATCTGGAAATTTCGTCGGAAGTTGGCCGGAAGATTGCCGGTTTCTGGGATTCTTCGTCGGAAACTGGGCTGGTCGCTGGAAACTTCAATGTTCGCCGGAATTGTTGCCGGAAAATTCAAATTTCGCCGGAATTTTCGCCGGAATCTGGAAATTTCCCAGAAATTTCCAGAAAAATTTTTTCGCCAGAAATTTCTAAAAAATTTTTTCTCACTCCCAGAACACTCCTAAACTTTTCCTAGCTTCCTATACGCCTCCTTTTCTCTCAAATCAGTAGCTTTGCTTACTGTTTTCTGTGTGTTTTCATTATGTTCCAGGAGGTGCTTTATATAGGGATTGATCAGGAGTTTCTGATCAATCCCAATTCTCCTTTGGACGGGAATTCAATCTTTGAATCCAGTCTGGACTCTTCTGATTGAATTCCCACTCCCAGTGGGATTCTTCAACTTTCAATCCTAGCCCTCCAAAATAAAAATCAAAATAAAAAAAAAACTAGATAATTAGAGAAGATAAATCAGCAGATATTATAGGATAAATAATAATAAAAAAATATATCAGATATATAATTAGATAAGTAAAAATACAAAAATGAATAAAATAAAAAAGATAAAATATATATATATATACATAAATAATAAAATACACATAAATATTAACAAAAAAAAATAAATAAATATATACATATATTAATACATAATAATAATAATAAATAATACAATACATAAAATACAAAAGAAGAAGAAAAGAGAAAAAAAAATACAAGATAAAATTGAATTGGGCTTACCCATTTGGGCCAGGCCCAATTGATCTGGCCGGACCCAATTGGGTGTCTACAAATAAAATGAAATATAATAAAGAGATGTAGGCACCAAATCCTCCAAAGCCTTTTTCTTTAAAAATTTGGTAATTAAGGTCGCTAAAACGTCAATTAACGTTAAACATTGACTTTGCTCATCTTTTCTGCCTCAATCAAAAGGGTGAAAATGTGGGCAAGGCTACCTTTCATTAATATTATTGCTACCATAAATTAACAAGGTCGTTGTCTATGAATTAATTCATTTAATTGAGAACGTTCTTTTTACTAGAACTAATAAACTCCATTTAGTTATCATTTTTATTTTAATAAAAAATAAGAACAGAAATAAAGAAAATAAACTAAAAAAGAATTGCTCGGTCAATTAAACGAAAGTTGTAAGAGATTCTGTATATAATTAAGTGAAATTCATTTCTTACACATTTTTCACTTTATTTTCTAGTCTTTTGACTGTTGATGGGAATGCTTTATTATGATTTATTTCCACCAGTCTTATAATTGTGTATTTGTGGAAACTGATAGCAATTTGAGGTCCTTGAACAAGTTGTGCTCTGAGTCTATGTGGGTTGTTTTTTCCTATTGTTATAAGAGAAAACTGCTTCTGATTCTTTATTGGAAGAATTGAAAGATTCTTAAAACCCTCCAAGTACATTGTCTATAGAATGTATTAATAAGCTCTTGTTCAAGTAGTTTAATGTAGAATCTGGTTATTGTTATACCATCTTTGTGTTGGCTAAAAGCTTCAAATCCAATCACATTAGCGGAAGTGAAATCAAACAATAAATCAAACATACAAAAGACAACAATTTAAGGTGGTTCGGCTCAATCAACCTATATCCACGGATGAGAAACAAGATCCATTAGTTGTAGAAAATTACAAACATACATCAAATCATCAACCTCACTCAACAATCGATACTCATAAAACACTCTCAATCTTCTCTAGTCCTATGAAGTATTTCAACCTAAATAAACACAAACCCAAACCTTGTGCACCCTTTCAATATAACCAAACACATGCTCCCATACATCATACCTATGTGAACTCTCTCAATCTCCTTTAGTCCACTCACAAACAAACATACGCACCACTTGTTGGGGAACACCACAGCTCTGATACCATTTGTTGGGCTAAAAGACTCCAATCCAATTACATTAGCGGAAGCGAAATCAAACACACAAGAGAAGATGATTGTGAGACTTTTATTGCAGGTGGAGCCAAGCATGTCTAGCATGAAGATAGATGATTGATGGAATTTGAGTGAAGGTGGAGATTGTTAGGAATATTGACTCAAATCCCATAAGAGATTTGTTTGAGATTTGTTAGATATTGCTTGATGGACAAGAAGACTTGCAAAGGAAGAATTCTAAAAGAAAGATGATTCTTAATAGGTAAGTTTGACTTGCAAGAAAAGAATTCTAAAAGGAAAAGAATTCTTAATAGGCAAGTTTGACTTACAAGAGAAGAATTCTAAGAGGAAAGGGATTCTTAATGGGCAAGTTTGTATGGTTATAAATAGGTGAAGTCTCTACAGGGTTAAATATGAGAAAAAGATGTAAGAGAGTTGTAAGTTTTGTGGGATAGACATCCATAGGAGTATTGGGGCTCTACGTCTTTGGGTGTGTATGTTTGTTTGTGAGTGGATTAGAGGAGATTGAGAGGGTCCACATAGGTATGATGTATGGGAGCATATGGGTATGTGTTTGGTTATATTGAAAGGGTGCACAAATCTCTTATGGGATTTGAGTCAATATTCTCAACAATCTCCACCTTGACTCAAATTTCATCAATCATCTATTTTCATGCTAGACATGCTTGGCTTCACCTACAATAAAAATCTCACAATAATCTTCTCTTATGTGTTTGATTTATTATTTGATTTTGCTTCCGCTGATGTGATTAGATTGGAGGCTTTTAGCCCAACACTTTGATGTGATTTGATTCGAGTTAAGTAGTAAGGAGAGAGTTAGAGGTAGGCTGAAAATTGCGTTGGCAGTGGTAATAAGAAAAAAAAAGTGCATATTCACTTGTTTTAGAAATGGATTCATGCATGAATGCACTATATAGAGTTGTCTAGCTGCAGCACGATAAAAGTTTTTGATTCATAGAATTTCACTACATAATTTTCTTTGAATTCGATTGCTGTAGGATATAAATGTTAGTAAGTCTTGTATTGTTATAAATATATTTAGAATGAGTTCTCTTACTATATTCAATCATGTTTTTCACCGCATAACCAGTTTTAATTCAATGTTTCAATTGCAAAAGAAAATGTAAAAGCAAAGTGGATCATGATTCCGACGGAATGATTCATTGGAATTGAAGAATCTGCAAAGCATTTTTAATATGAGCACTTTTAGCCTCTTATGGGAATTTAATGTGTTGTAGAACACCATATGTCATGATAGAAAGAACTTATTTTCCCTCCTTTTTAGTTTTTAATTTTTCGTTCGATTATATTAAGATTCTACTCTTTTTTTTTTTTGGTATCAGAAATGGCATTGAAAGCATCCAAAAAATATGTGAAGGAGATATTAGAACTATTCAAACAAGGTACACCGGAACTTGTTCTTACTGGGAATGCCAGAACAGGGAAAATATATATGTAAGAGCAATAAGCGAGTCTGCAATCAAGGAAGGCTACTGCTATAGGACTACAAAATTTTTGACTTTCAAATAAAAATTATATACGGAATACAAAATTTTGAAACAAAATTGATGATGCACATAACATGCTTATAAAAATTAATTAAAACAAATCATTGTCACGAATGCATGACCGAAAATTAAATAGCAAAAGTATCATACTTCATGGAAAGTTTCCAATAATTAAATGGAGGAAATCATTTTACTTGGAATTAGTTGTTTGTTTCCGGAGAAAAAAAAACCAGGTGATTTTATAAAATTTACAGGAAAACTTTTTCTTTTTTCAAATTAAATTTACAAGAAAACTTAAGTCCTTATTATTACTTAGAATCCTAATAAAATTGCCTCACATACATGCCATGCCATTACCAAGGGCCATATAAATGTAACATATATTGTAATTTCCAAGCATACGTCCAAAAAGCCTATTAATCTCTTTGGTATATAATATTAGTTCGATGGACTTATATATAAAACCACCTTTTATGCTATATTTCTTTTCAAATAATATATATATATATTTATATGTATATATAGAAGAATAAAAGAACTCATCAAAGAAATCTATTAATTATGTGATTCAATAAATATATTGATTATGTATATATATGGAAGAGAAAATTATTTACTTTCAGACCTTAAATTTGTACATTTCAATAAATATATATTGATTTTGTATATATATTGATTATGAATCCTTTCATCATCATCATCATCATCATCATCATCATCATCATCATCATCATCATCATCATCATCATCATCATCATCGATTTAGTTATTCTTCTTAACCAGTTTTTGTGTCTTTGCATATATATGCTACATATAAAGATTGCATTTCATAATTTTATCTTAAGTTGAAATAATTTGACTAGAATTGGTTTTTAATAAAGAGAAACTTCTTCAAAGAGTACTAAAGCTTAAGTCAAATGAAGAGAATTTAATTAGTAATTAAAATTACATGGCAAAGCCAGGGTTCTTATAGAATAAGCTTACTTACAAATATTCAAAGCCTTTCATGGAATGTTTCTTAGAAAGGCTCTAGCATTTCTTTCAAGACCTCATCTTCCGCTTGAGAATCTCTCGTAATTTGTCAGCCTTCTCTTTCTCTTTCCTTGGACGAGGCACCAAATATTTAGATATCTCTTCAGGCGGTTCAACCTTAATAAAAGTAAATAGCAGCAAAAAATGCTTCTTTAATTTCAAAATAATGATGTAACAATTTATAATATAAATGAATATATATAGGAGCCATGAAAATGAATTCAACAAACTAAATAAAATTGGCTTGTTATTATACGAAATTTAGTAATATATATCATTTCCAAGGTTTTCTATATATGCAGATATTGCTACTTCTAATTAAATAACTAGTATTCGAATAGCTCCACGTACCACTGAAATCACACAATTAATATGCGCAATATAGGTGCATTCTTTGCAGTAATAAACATCATGCTCTGGATTTCTTTCTGTTTCACATATATCACAATAGTATATTCCAGAATTGTCTTCCACAACAGAGTTTGTAAGTGTGAGTGGATGTAAATGACGCATATGTTTGATGATATATGGTAGCTGAATACATTCAAGATGTATGTAGAATTCACATTTCATGCAGCCAAAAAAGGTGTTGTTACAATCTGCGCGACATTCAGCACATGGAGGAGATCTTTTAACGAAAATGCTTTTCCCCAAATGTAGAAGATGGTGAACATGGCAATTGTGCTTTATCATACGAGTTTGGTACTTAGCGCATGAATAGTGCATGTACAAATTGCATTCATAACAACCGAACATGATGCAATCAATTCTGTCGTGACAAGCCTTGCATGTAGGATTATCCATCACAGTCCTGAGTGGAAATGGGAGAAGAGGATGTTGTGGGTGAAATGGACTCTCAACTTCTATCAGCATGTCCTTAAGATAGGATTCATGAATAAAGAATTCACAAACAAGACAAGTATAAACTAGATCATGCAGGTCTTGTCTACATGCTATGGAAGACTGATGAATCTCCGTTTGCAATCTATTAATCTTGCAACGAGTTAGCTGATGATTGTGGCTGAAATGGTAGACTGAGATTTGAATTTCCTTCCCTTTAAGGGCCTCATGTTTAGCAAGATCGTCATTTAAAGTAGCGCATTTGATATCAAGACTGAACAAACATAGGCTACAGTTGTAAGATAAACCGCAACAGAGTTTTCCACATCCGTTACATATAAATATAGCCTCTAGATCATTGAGTGTCGGCGGGTGAGGATGAAAAGCATCTTTTTGTATTTCATAACCAACAAAAGGAAGCCTGTTACACATTTTATAAAATATAATCAATTAATCAATATATTATACACATAAATACGAATTTAAAAAATATAAATAGTATTACCTATTAATTTTGTCCTTTATTAATGATCTTTTATTAAATTAAAATATTGATAAATTTTTGTTATTATTAGCTTGACTCATTGTTGCTAGATAATGTTCGATTTTTAGGTTATTCAGGGACAGTATTTTTAGCAAGAGTTCACAATAAAAAACAAGTCACAATTAGAGTTGGCAACGGGTCAGGTCGAGACGGGTTTTTGCTTACTCCGAACTCGACCAGATTTTGTATCCATCAAATCTAAACTCGACCCGTCCCAATTTTTTAAAAATTTTTTAATACCCCAACCCGACCCTGATATTGTGTAAATCGTACATGACCCGATTTTGACCCGAAATTAATAAAATATTATTTTTTAAATATAAATATTTAAATACATAATTATATAAATATATATAAATAAAAAATTAAATAAATAATTAAAAAAAATAATTTTTATATAAATATCGGGTTGGGTCGGATTTGCCTAAAATCCGAACCTGACCTGAAACCTGATTTTCAAAAAAAAAATCGACTCTAGAGGGTTGGGTCGGGTTGCTGATCCTAGCCATAATTACAGGGAAAGCCAGCACATAACTTCATCATCAATCGCAATTCCACAATAAACACAACCACAATACATAAGTAATAGGAATTAGAAATTTAGTAGCTTCTTAAGCACGTTAGTGATCAAGGTGAAAATTTTTTTTCATTAATTGGCAACTAGCAAAATGTATGCTGTCATTCATTTCATACATTTTAATTTTTTATTTTGTTAATGTATATAAAATATTTGAATGTTATTATACTAATTATTAAACTTTGTATTAATTAGATGTATATTTAAACGTGAATAAAGTTAATATAAATTTCAGTTTCTGAATTTAAACTCTTTAATGAAAATAAAATTTATTAAAAAGAATATAGAAAAAAAATACATTTTACATAATGACGGCGTTTGCGTTCGGTCGTGGGTCGCTAAATGAATAATTTAGTGACGTTTGTAGCATTAAAACGTCACTATAAGTAGCGGCACTCTTACCAGCAAATGTCGCTTGTTAAGTAGCATTTTTCTCATAAAAATGCCATTAAAGCAACGGTATTTTTATCATAAAATGTCAATGAATTAACGACGACTAAAAGATATAAACGCCGCTAATACAAAGGCGTTTTTCAGATTCAAATGCCTTTAAAGTAAAGCATTTTCAGTTATAAACGTTACCAAAGCAACTACCTTTTTTTCTCATAAAAACGTCACTAATTTAACGACATCTCAAAGATAGAAATGCCGCTAAAATGACAGTGTTTCAGATATAAACACCGCTAACATTATGGTATTTTTTCTAAAAAGCCATTATTTATCACGACGCGTGAATAGCCGACACTCTGAGTGACGTTTTTTGCAAACGTCGCAAATCTTTTTGTGGTATTTATAAACATCGCTAAACGTTAAAAAAAATATCATTAAAAACCAAAACCCCTGTATTGAGTACACATGTAATGAGTACACAAGCATGCTTTGGCATAAGGTTCTTAGAGTTTCGGTTTAGGTAACTCAAAAGGTTTTAGGTTTTAAAATTGGATCAAAAAGATTAAGTCAAGGGCAAGAGCATATTTTGGTCTTAGGGGATTTGGTCGGCAACGAAAGGCTTTATCAGTAGTAGAAGATTTTAGTTTTCGCTTTTAAATCTAAGGTTTTCTTGACTTTTTTATTGTAAAAACTAATTGGATAGGAAGGAAAAAGGAATCAAGTAGATTTTTTTGGGGTGAAATTTGGCGACAATTCGGTGCCAATGGACGGTGGATGAAAGTGGATTAAGGCAGCTGCAATGGAAGAGGTTCATTGGATTCTGAGTAATCTATTATAGATGTGATAACGGTTCAAATCAGATTCAGTTCGTTTTTTAAATAATATATAAAATTATAAATTTTTAAAATTTGATTTGAATTAAAACTAAATTTTTATACAATTTGGTCCTATTCAAATTGAATTTTATTGATTTAGTTTGGTTTATCGGTTTTTAAAATATTTTTGTTTTTATATATTATTTTAATATGATTTTTAATATATTTAAATAGATTTAAATAAAATAATTATCTTATTTTATAAAAATTTAAAAAATATATAAAACTAATAAAATAATAATTTTGTTCAGTTCAATTTTTACAAAGTTTTTTTATTTTAATTTAATATTAGAAATTAATCCAAACAATAAAAGAACAAAATTGATCAGAAATGAATCGAATATTATAATTTTGAATTGATTTTTTATTTTTTTGATTTTTTTTTGCCTTTAGTCTAGTATTTTTCTGGATGCTGTTGAATTTATGGAGAGAAGTTGAAAAATAAGACAAGAGAGAGAAGATGGAAGAATAAAAAATATTTGGCTATTTAAGTGAGTTTGAAGCGCTACCATTTTGAGACAGAAAGAAAGAGGCTTGTCTAGGGCCTAATCCGAGTTTCTGGCTCGTGCTCCCACCTGCAAACACCTGCCTTGTATATATATTTTCAAATATTTTTAGTTTTAATTTTATTTTATTTTCTTTAAGCTTTTATTAATTTCTTGTTATCTTATTTATTTCAATTTTTCTTTTACTTATCTATTTGTTTTAAATGTTTAGATTTTTGAATTAGGAATGTGTTTTAATTATTTGATAAGTAGATAAAAAGTATTTATATGATAAATTAAGTAAATTCTATTCTCATAATGTTATTTATAAAAAATTTTAAGAATAAATGAAAATTATTTTGATGATGGAATTCTAAAAAATCATTATTGGTTAATTTTTAAGAATTTTCATGTGAGATTTTTTTTTTTTAAATTTAACTCGATGACAAAAAGTTTATAATAAAAATTTTCAAAAAATTTTGATATTTATTTTCAAATAAAAATAAATAAAATAAAATTTTAAATACACAAAAATTCACAAATTATAGAATTCTTAAAATACAAGATTGGTTGATTTTCTAAGAAATTTATAAGTGAGAGATTTTAAAAAAATAGACAAATAAATGAAAATTTTAGATAAAAATTTCCTTGAGAATAATTTATATTTATTTTTAAGAAAAAGAATAAAATTAGGAAAATTAGAATAATGGAAATTGAAGAATTAAACAACAAACCTTTTTTCCAAAAAACATTAAAATAAATCTAAGATGAAACTTTTTAAAAAAATAATTGAGATTTTTTAATATTTTTGAATGAAAAGAAGTTTTTTTTAAAAAATTTCAAATAGAAGGAGAAAAACCTAAAATTCTTTGTAATATTTTAATAATAAATTAAAAATAAAAAATCATTTTAATCAAGATAATTTTTAGAATAATTTAAAATTAATTAATACTTTTTTATGATGGATGTTGTAGGGGTGTTAAAACATTTATTATATGTAATCGAATTCTCAAACTTAATTTTAATAAATAGATCAATCATATTCTTTTAAGTACTTTTAGTTAACTTAAGACATCTTTTAAAAAAATAGAGTTGTTTGGTGACAAATCACAGTTAAATAAAAAAAATAGTGATAACTTTTAAATTTATATCTAACAATCAAGTTGGTCGAACTTTTAAGTTATGACATATGGTAACTTTTTTTGAATTTTGTTGATTGGTTAGTGTTTAATGTTTCTATTAGAAGATGAAATAAATTTTGGTTTTTTTGGTAAACCCTTACATTTGATCTTAAGTTAAGTATCAATGAAATTTGATTATGGGAGTTAACTATTCCGTAAATTGAGACTAACCTTTTCATCGTGCACCAATATCCCCTCCAATTCCATCCTTTTGTTAGCAATCTCTGCTTTGTCAAAATTCCTTCCTGTTCGTTGATTCGAAAACATTTCTTCTGTAGGTTCAACCTAATAATACAGTAAGCACAAAGTTTAATTTTCATGGTTTCATCCAAATTCAACAAGGAAAAAAATTGTTATAATACACTCAACATTAATTTGCTCATACAATTAATTAAAGGACTATAATTTATTTGCTCGTGTCTTACCTCAGGAAGGACACAATCAATAGGTGCAATATAAGTGCATTCTTTGCAAAAATAAACATGATGTTCTGCATTCCTTTCTGTCTCGCACATATCACAGTAATAATCTCCCGAATCATCTTCAACAAAAAGATTTTAAGCACAAGTGGATGCAAGTGACGTTTGTGTTTAACAATTAGAGGTAGTTGAATACACTCAACATCTATATAGAAATCACACTTTATGCAGCCGAAGAAAGAATCATCGCAATCTTTATAACAAGCATCACAAGATATATTACTGATAATGCTCTTCCCCAAATGTAGAAGATGGTGAGGATGGCAATTGTGCTTTATAGCCCGAGTTCGGTACTTAGTACATGAAACGTGCATGTTAACATCACATTGATTACAGTAGAAGCTGATACCCTTGACTTCTTCCTTACAAGCACTGCATCTGTGAGAAGAACCCTTATGGATCAGTCGAGGGAGAAGAATATGTTGTGGGTGAAATGGACTTTGAAGTACTTGTCTTGGCATGTCATTTACACATGATTCATGAATGACAAATCGACAAGGAATGCATGTATAGATTAGAATATCATGGAGTTTCTGTTTGCATGCCATGCACTTGGGCTTTTCTAGCTTCCATAGATACTTAAAAATTTCTTTACCCAACACCGTCTTCACAAAGAAAAACTTGCAGCGGGTCAGTTGATGATTGTGGTTGAAATGATGAATTGTGGTTTTAATTCGCCTCCCTTCCTGTAAGGCCTCGTTGGTTAGCTAGCTCACAATCATTAGAAATAGTGACAGCGCATCCGAAATCAAGGTGAATGTACAATTCATGCAAGCTGTAACTGAATGAAAATGCCCGCCAATATTGCACATCGGTCACACACAATCACGTTGCCCAGAGTGAATCTTAGCGGGTGGGGTGAAAAGCATCTCTTTGCATTTGAGGGGCAATTCAGCACATGATTTGGCATATCAAACATGTTACATTTTTCACAAACATATGCTGGACCGCAAATGATATCCCGGCACCCAAAGCAACTCATAGTTATTGTTTCCTTACCCACCTCTATAAAGGTCAAGTTGTGGTTGTGAAGAAATGTTTGAACTCCATGTTATGTTTATAGGACACAAAAAAAGGTAGAACAATGAAGAGTGAGGGCATTAATTGCAAGTGAAGAGTTCTTGAAAAAAGAAAATTTACTGTTTTTAACCTCTTTTCATTGACTTTGTCCAATTGCCAAAAAAATGTAAGTTATATTACACATATAGAACAACAATTTCTTGAGTGTTTTTCAATTTTTGGATATTCATGAATGCCTTATCTTTGCTACTGTATCTTTCATTGACCTTTCCAATTGCCAAAAAAGACAAATGTAAGTTATATTACATATATAGTACAACGATTTCTTTAGTGATGGAAGCACATAGGCTATATACTACTTCTATGCACGCCTAGAATAAGGGTAAATGATAATTTATTATTAAGATAAAATTTATAAAGAAGAAAATAAAAAATGCAATTATATATCTGAACATCGGAGAAGAAAAAAGAAGTGTATACACAGTTATTTAACATTCAGAAAGAAATAGCAATAATATCGATTAGTTTTAAAATATTTAAATCAATTTTTAAACTTAAATACCTTAAAATATTAAATATTTTTAATTTAATTGCTGTCACTTGTGACGCCAATTCAGTCAAGGATAAAAATAGTATAGATATAAACACTATAAACTTGATAACGTTAGATTAATAAACTGGAGTGTCATCTAGAGATCATGAAAGAGGACAATAGTATGTTTGGTAGGAACAAGGGAAAATATAAAAAAAAAAAATGTGAGGAAAAAGAAAGAAAAGAGGAAGAAAAATTATTTTTTCATTGTGTTTGGTATAAAGGATTGAAAATAAAGAGAATAAAATAGGCTAAGAGTAAAGTTATAAATAAAATTAATAATTTAAATTTAGTTCTTTCTTTTTACATTTGAAAAAAAAAATAGATTTTAAGAAAAAAATGTAAATTCATTCATTTTTTTTTATCTTTTTATTTTTCACGTACAGAATAGAAGGAAAATTTTTTTTTTCATTTTTTTTCATCTTTTTCTCTTACAAAATACAGCATAGAAGAAAAGAATTTGTGTTCAACAACTCAGTTTTCAATATTGGATATTTTATCAATTTTTTTTAAAAGAAAAAGGAAAAGGAGAGAATAAAGGAAGGAAATGTTTAAACTTTAATTTGGTGAATCGTCAAGAAATATTGCTTTTCCCTAAAGCATAAAATTGTTTAATAATTAAATATTGCTTTAACGATTTTGTAGATCTTTTAGCCGTTAAACCATTCAAAGATCTGTGTTGGAAAGCCATAGTGATCACAAGGAAAGGAATTTGTGTTCAACAACTCAGTTTTCATTTCAATATATTGAATATCTTATTATTTTTATTATTTAAAAAAAAAAAAGAAAAGAAAAGAGAGAGAATAAAGGAGGGAAATGTTTAAACTTGAGATGTATCATTGGTTAATTAGGTGACTCATATTCAAGGAACGTTGCTTTTCCTTAAAACATAAAATTATTAATAATTAATATTGCTTTAATAATTTTGCATATCTTTTAGACGTTAAATAATTCAATTATCTATCTTGGGAGCTATGCTCTGAGCATCTACGTCTAACTTGCCTCGACGGCCAATATAAAAAAAAAAGTTCTTATTAAAATTTTTTATGAAATTATAAATAGAGAAAAATTATAATTATAATAGTATTATAAAATTATAAATATAAAAAAAGTTACAATAATAATCAAATATTACATTTATATAAAAAATCATTGAATAATCAAATAAATAAATTAAAATATAATTAAACAAATTTAACAAAAAGTTAAACTAAATCCTTGTATAATGAAATTTAAATTTAAAATCTCATAATTGTAAGACTTTCTCTTCACCATTAAAATAAGGAATATATGTATGTGTGTGTGTGTGTGTATATATATATATAAATCTAATCTAATCTAATATAACCCTATTTTTTTTATAAAGAGAGTTATAATTTGCAAATAAAAAAAATTATAGGTGTTGAAATTTGAATTTAAAAGCTAATAAATGATAATTTTCAAAATAATTATATAAATAAATTGAACTAAACTAATTGAATTCATAAATTTATGTTTTATTGAATTCTATTTTTTTATGTTATTCACTTGTGGATTTTATAATATTTAATTATAATTTATTACTATAATCTAGTTGGTATGTGGACTTGGTTTCTCAAAATTAACGTTGTTGTTCACCAGTTAATGTTATTAGTTAAAGAAAATGACAAGTTATATATAATAAGATTTTGTAAGGAGTGTTTTTACGTAATAAGTAAAATATTTTTGGCTAATAAGTAAATATTTTTATTAAATTTAAAATTATATATTAATTATTGACAATTGAATTTAATAAAGATATTATTATAGATAAAATTTCAATTAATGAAATGAAATACAATAAAGAGATGTAGGCACCAAATCCTCCAATGCTTTATTTTTTAAAAAATTGGTAATTAGGGTTGCTAAAAAGTCAATTAATGTTAAACATTGACTTTGCTCATCTTTTCTGCCTCAATCAAAACAGTGAAATTGTGGGCAAGGCTACCATTTCATTATTATTGCTACCATAAATTAATAAGGGTGTTTTCATGAATTAATCAAATTGAGACTTTCTTTTTACTAGAACTAATAAACCTCAATTTAGTTGTTTGTTATTTTTATTTTTAATAAAAAAAATAAAGAACAGAAATAGAAAATAAACTAAAAAAAAAAATTCTCGTCAATTAAACAAAGTCTAAGAGATTCTGCTTATAATAAGTGAAATTATTTCTCTCACATTTTTTGGCAGGTGGTAGAATATGCTTGTTGCTTTTCATTTTATTTTTTTTAAGATTTAAATAATTTATTCAAATTTATTTGATTTAGGTACTCTAAATAGGACAAAAGAAGTGATAAGATAAGTATTTAACCACTATTTGATGTATAATATATATTACAAGCAGAACTTAAAAATCATTTTCCCATTTAACTATTCAAGAATATAGATGTTTATTAATGTCTTATATTGTGAACATTTTGTGGGAGGAACAATTTGCTCAAACAAATCAAATTATAGCAGCTTTATTTAAATCATTACTTTATTTGCCAAATATCATACCCATGTATACAAAAGGGGAATAGATAAGGTACTTCAATCTTACATCGAATATGAAAGGGGGGTTACTAAGATATAAAAGGGTTCACACCATCTTTTTCTTGTGAAATGTCTTTTATGAGATAAAATCGTGAGGCCAGAGGGATCAGAGCGAACAATATCTCATAATAGGTAGGCTAATCTGAGATGTCGAATGAGTGCATACTCAGGTTTTAAAATCACATGAGCTTGGAGGTTAAGTCTCGGCTCGTGAAAAGTGGTATCAGAACAAGCCCTGGATCGTTTGACCAACGCCAAGCACCTCAAGAGAGGTAGACAAAGTGGTCAGCCTCCGTAACGAGGGCGTCACAAGGTTGGGTGGGGAAAAATGTCATGCAAAGCTCTCCAATAGGGAGTAAGCAGGGTATTCCAATCCTACATCGGACATAAAAGAACGGTCACTAAAGTATAAAAGTGTTTACATCACATCTTCTTTGTGAAACACATTTTATGGGATAAAATTGTGAGATCAGAGAGATCAGAATAAACAATAACTCACAAGAATATGAACCGTAACATATAAATTGGTCTGTAATGTCGGATGAGTGCATATTCGAGTACTGAAACCACACAAACCTGAAAGTTGAGTCTCGGCCTATGACAATGACACTTATTTAGTATTATTACTCCATGTTCAAGGAAAATAATATTTTGTTTTTGGTCAACTCCAAATTTCCAACAAGACATCTCAGGTTTTTTCCCCCCTAAGTCTTCATGTTTTTGTACTTGCTTTCCATTTTTGCTGTTCTTATTAGATTTCTATTCCTCAACCATTTTTTTCCTTTATTTTCTAGTCTTTACTGTTTATGGAATGCTTTATATGATTATTTCCAACGGTCTTATAATTTTTATTTGTGGAAATTGGTTGCATTAAGGTAGAGAACAAGCTGTGCTATGATCTTGCGTTTTTTTTTTTTTCCCTTTTTTATAAGAGAAAAAGTGTTCTGATTCTTTATTGGAAGATTGAAAATTCTAAACCATCCAAGCATATTGTCTATTAAATGTATTATAAGCTATTGTTCTGTCTTTAACGTAGAATTTGTTGTTGTTATACCGTCTTTGGAGTTTTTTTTTTTTTTTTCCTTTCTGCTTCTGGTAATAATTTTCGTGATTATTAATAATCATTTTCTTGAATATATTGTCCATAGAATGTATTAGTAATATCAAACATGATGATATTTAATTCATAAAAATTAATAATTATCAATCAAATAAAATAATTTCAAATAGAGATAAGATAACTTTGATAACAAAATCATTTCGATAATTATATTACCAAGATAATATTGAAAATGATAGCTAATGTTACCTTAAAAAATTATGACTTAAGTGATCAAAAATACCTTTGATTGTATTAAAAAAATGATTTCTTCTCTATATTACATAGCATATAAATTAAACACTGGTTTTGTGACTTGATAATCTGTTAAGTGTTAAACAATTCAAGATTTTGGGCAAATTAATCACATCATCGATATGTTTTTGGTCGGTCAGTATACTAAAATGTTGGAAGTGGTTTCAATTAATAGAGGTATTTATAAGTTGGATCGAGTTGGGTTTAGATCGGATTCTTACTTGGTATTGATAATTTATATATTTGCTTAGGTTTGGTTTAATATGAAATTTCGGACTTCAAAAATTTTTCAAACTGGACCTAAATTAAAAAAAAAATCCTAAACTCACTCGTTTAACTTAATTTATACAATAAAATTTTTTTAAAAAGTAATTAAATTAAGTTTAATGGGATTATATTCAATTCACATATATATGTAAATTAAAAATAAAAATTATATGCATAAAAATTTAAAATAAAAATTATATAAAAATAAAAATTAAATTTAATAAAATATATATTATTTTTATTATATATATTTGAATTACTTTATATATAATTCACACATATATAAAAATAAATAATTTATATATATGTGAATTTGATTTCAAGTTAAGCTAAGCTCAGACTTTAAATCTTTTATCCAAGATTCGATTTGAAATTTAAATGGACCTAAAATTATATCCAAACCTATTTAATAGTTTTTAATTTTTTTTATCTAAATCCTCTCAAAATTTGGTAAGACTTTTAAGTTTGGACGAATATCCCGATTCTTGAACATGTCTATCAGTTAGATCTATAAAAAATTTTTTTTGTTAATATTATCAATAACATTTTTGAGGAAGACAAGATATAAATACGACTTTTTAATGAAAAAATGCATACATTTATTATTGTCATTAGACCAATTTTAGTTTTTTAAAATCGGATGTATGATATTATTTAATTTCTTTTGTTATTCTTTCATTAGTGAGCAACTGCAAAAGATTCTGCATACAATGTTTAGTTTACTCAAATTTTACGAAATTTTGTCATGAATCCTTTGGTAGATGCTTGTTAGCAGATGCATATAATAAGTGGAATTATTTCTTTATCTTAAACAATAAGTACATTAACTTTGGTGAATGAAATTACTAAAGTAACCTATTTGTTTTAAGAAACAAATTTTTAATATACACTAGACTTGAATGTAAGATCTCTTATTTAAATCTCATCAAGATTTAATGAATTGAGTTAAAATTAGTGGCTTATCAAATAAATACCTTAGTGTGTGTGTATATATATATATAATCATTTTAGAGAGTATCCGATAACTAAAATATATTTTTTGAAAATATTTAATATAATAAGAAGTCTTAATAACATTTTTCTTCCACGCATGATTGCAACCATCAAAGATTTAATTAAATTAAATTATATATTTTATTTTATATTTTGTAGAATATATTGTTATTAATTATAGTTATTATTGTTTTTTTTATATTATTTTTTTCTTTTGCAAAATTTCTCATTAATGTTCAATTATCGAAACAAAGTATTTCTACTTATTGAAAAAATAAAATAATAGTGACATTAATTTGAAAATTTTATTTAGAGCAACATTCCGTATAAAATATTTTTATTCGTACGTACAATAAAGGGGAAAGAGAAATGTTAACTCAAGATAAACCATTGTTTTATTTACATGCCAAAGTTTTACTTGCTAATATTCAAAGCCTTTCATTATTCTCTTGTGATTTTCAGACTTAAAGACACATGTTGGAACTTGGATCGTTTGTTGCATTTTTTGATCACCTTTCCTTTTTCATGTTTGATCCTCAATCTGCTTTTCACTTCTCCAACGACCTCATCATTTTTCCTCCTCTATGCTTCAGGAAGTTCAACCTAAAGAAAAAGCAAATAATAGCAAAAATGCTTCTTTAATTTCAAAATGATGATGCAACAATTTATAATCTAACTGGATATATAGAAGCCATTAAAATGAATTCACCACACTAATTAAAATTAGCATGTTATTATACGAAAATATAGGCCATTTCCGAGGTTTTCTCTATATGCAGGCCTCATCATCTCTTACCTTTCATCTATCCTTCCCCTCTTTGTCAGCCTTCTCTTCTTCAGATATTCAAATATCTTTTCAGGAGGTTCAACCTAATAAAAGGCATTTACCAAGTTTTAATTAGTTTCATGCTTTCAGGAAATAGCAGCAAAAAAAATGCTTCTTTAATTTCAAAATGATGATGTAACGATTTATAATATAACTAGATATATAAAAGCTATTAAAATGAATTCGGCACTCTAATTAAAATTGGCTTGTTATTATACGAAATTTAGTAATATATGTCATTTCCAAGGTTTTCTACATGTGCAGATATTGCTACTTCTAATTAAATAACTAGTATTTAGATAGCTCCACTTACCTCTGAAATCACACAATCAATATGCGCAATATAAGTGCATTCTTTGCAGTAATAAACATCATGCTCTGGATTCCTTTCTGTTTCACATATATCACAGTAATGTTCTCCAGAATTGTTTTCCACAACAGAGTTTGTAAGTGTAAGTGAATGCAAATGGCGCATATGTTTGACGATATATGGCAGTGAAATACATTCAAGATGTATGTAGAATTCACACTCTATGCAGCCAAACAAGGTGTCGTTACAATCTGTATGACATGTAGCACATTGGGGAGGTGTTTTAACGAAAATGCTTTTCCCCAAATGTAGAAGATCGTGAATATGGCAATTGTGCTTCATCTTACGAGTTTGGTACTTAGCACATGAATAGTGCAAGAAAAAATTGCATCCAAAACAAATGTACGCGATGCAATCATTTCTTTCCCTGCAAAAATTGCAGTGAGGATAATCTAACCCAGACAAGGGTGGATGTAAGAGAAGAGGATGTTGTGGGTGCAATGGGCTTTCAACTTCCCTCAGCATGTCCTTAAGACAGGATTCATGTAAAAAGAATGCACAACCAGGGCAAGTATAAACTAGACCATATAGGTCTTGTCTGCATGCCATGCAAGACAGATGAAACTCAGTTTGCAATCTATTAATCTTGCAACGAGTTAGCTGATGATTGTGGCCGAAATGATAGATTGTAGTTTGAATTTCCCTCCCTTTAAGGGCCTTATGTTTAGCAAGATCATCATTTAAAGCAGCGCATTTGCTCTCAAGGCTAAACAAACATAGGTTACAGTTGTAAGATAAACCGCGGCACAGTTCTCCACATCCGTTACATACAAATATAGTCTCTGGATCATTATCATTAAGTGCCAGTGGGTGAGGATGAAAAGCATTCTTTTGTATTTCCTGACCAAAAAAAGGAAGCCGATTACACATTTTATAAAATATAATCAATTAATCATTATATTATACATACACTATTTTATGTACAAACACGAATTTCAAATTATAACTAGTAAATGATATATATCTTGAATAATTTATTTATTACCTATTAATTTTGTCCTTTATTAATGATTTTTTATTAAATTAAAATATTGATAAATTTTTATTATTACTAGCTTGGCTCATTGTTGCTAGATAATATTTGATTTCTTCAGATCTTATGTCTTTAATTGCTACTTGTTTTATTAAATAAAATATAGATTAATTTTTATCTATTTTATTTCTTCATTAAACCTTGAACTCTATATTAAAGCAAATTGTTTTTAACAAAATTTAAATTTAGTTGTATCAAAAAATAAAATTTTTATTTTTATTAAATCATTAAAGTGTTTAAATATCATGAGATTTACATAACTGGTATAGGTTTCAGTAACTTCTAACGTCCAATTGAAAATATATGATGTTGCAAACATATATATATATATATGTTTTTATTGATTAATAATGATATCCTTTTACACGAATGGTTGTAGGAAGTGGGAGAATGAACCTCTAATTTTGGGCATTTTTGTATTTTGCTTTCTTTTATTTTTTTTATTAAATTTATATAATATCTTGATACTTATAATTTATGTTATGTAATGATTATAAATAACTTATAAAATTATAATTTTCATACGAACTGACCAAACTTTATAATAATATAGAAAAGAGAGCTAATAAGTCAAAGTATAGTTTTGATATATTATTTAAGGAAATTACTAAGTCAATACTATTTTTTCATTGGAATGTTTTTTGATTTAAATGATAAAATGGCAGATATATAATATAATAAGTAATAATAATTTTGTTTTAATTTAATAGGTTTTATGACTAATATTTACTTATAAGTAATTAGACTGGTTTTTTGTATTAGAACTGTTGAAGATCCCTTTTTTTATTTTATAAGTTATTTTTTCATGGTAATGGATAACATGTCTTTTCATAATTAAATTATTTTTTTAATTTTTGGGATAACTTATTAATCAAAACATATATTTTTCATATAAATTGATAAAATGTATTTGTAGGATCATTGTTTTTTATTTTTCTAAATGTATCTAATACTGATATCATATTGTATTAATTGTGTATTTATATTAAAGTTCTCTAATTTAAGGAAGTTATAACAAATTTTTTTTATAGAAAATAGAAATTTTGAAAATTTAATAATATAAATTACTTTAAAAGAATCAATTTTTATCAACTTATCCTTTCTTACAATTACTGTTTTCTTATGATAATAATAAAATATATTTCCTCCATCCCATAAATAATGACTGAATTTAATTTTTTGCAGTAAAATTTTTCAATTTTGATCTTCGGTATTTTAGCAACTTTATTAAACTAAATTTTTATAAAAATATGTTTGAATTTAATTTATTCAGTGTTTTTGAACTATTTTTGGTATTTTAATTTCTCCTGTTTGGGATTTTGGTTACATATATATCATTAATTTAGATATCCATTTAATCCGAGGTCCTCGTCTTCAAATTTCGTTATTAAATCCAGTAGTTTGTCATTGGATTTTGATATGGCCTATTCGAATTAAACAGTATTCGACTTTAGCCCAGATTGGTTTTGGACATTAGTCGGACACGGTTTGGGTTTTAAACCAAAATGCCTAAATTATTTTTATTTTTATTTTATTTCTTGTTTTCAATATTTTTTATTTATTAATTATTTATCTTTATTTTGATTTTGGTATTTATCTTCAATATTAGTGATTGACATTTATTTTTTATGGGAATTCTAAAACTAAGTTTTTTATAAAATATTTAATAAATTTGGCAACAAAATTTTTTTAAATGAATAAATGATTTTATTAAATAACTCTTGATTGTTAAAAATTTTGTTAGGAATTTCACAAAATGATAAGGAAGACCTAAAATTTTTTTCAATATTTAAATGACAAAACTTAAATAAAATAGAAACTTTTTTTAATAAATATATCTATTATGATAGTTTAAAATTAAATGATACTATTTTTAAAATGAGCGTTTTTGAACTAATTACGGTAAATAGATCAAAACATATATTTTTAAGAACCATTACTTAATTTTAGGATATATTTATAAGAACAAATTCACTTATGTGATTAATTATATCTAGATAAAAAAAAATGATAACGACTCTTAAATTTTTGTTTTGTGATCAAATTTTCAAACTTATAAGTTATAACAATTAATATAATGAAAAACTTGAGGAAAATTTGGAGTGAGTGATTTTGTAATGAGGTATTTTGAGGTAAGTTTATTTTTTGTAGCCTTAATTTTTTTTATAGTGAATTTTTTCGCAATGCCCGTGAATGTTGGAAAATTTCATAAACCACTTATATTATTTTATTATTTCTATTTAAAAAATTGAAACATGAAAAAAGGCAAAAGGAAAATAAAATTTTTTTTTTGAAACAATTCAAATTTGATTTGGAGTGAAATTCTTTTCGAGGGTTGAATGCTTTAAAGAAAAAAATTTTAATGAAACCATAACTGGAACTAAAACTCTTTTGTGAATTGGAATCGTTTTTGGATTGGGATAAACTTTCTTTAAAAACGTCACAAAATCAACAAGTAAGGGAGGATGAACAAGTAATTTAGAGAAAATTCTAGGATTAGTTGTTTCTAGGTTCTTCGACGAGAATATTTTTTAGCAAGAATACACAATCACATAAATTTCAACTTCAATCGTAATTCCACCATAACACAACCACAAAACACAGGCAAAACGAATTAACAATTCGCAGGTACACAATCATTAAAATAGGGTTTTGGCATAAGGTTCTTAGATTTTCAATTTAGGTGATTGAAAGGGTTTAGGTTTTAAAATTTGATCAAAAGGTTAAGTGGAAGACATAAGCATATTTTGGTCTTAGGTGATTTGGACAGAGACGAGAGGCTCTACTAGTAGTAGAAGATTTTAGTTTTCACTTTTAGATCGAGGCTTTTCTTGGCCTTTTTTGCTAAAACTAATTGTATAGGAAGGAAAAGGGAATCAAGTAGAATTTTTGTCATGAAATTTGGTGATAATCCGACATCGATGAACAGCGAATAGAAGTGAAGGTAGGGAGCTGCAACAAAGGAGGTTGGCTGGGTTCTGGGTTGTCTGGTATTATTCTCGGATGCTATTGAATTTTTAGTAAAAAGGGGGAAAATAATAGAAGAGAGAGAAGATGGAAGAAAAACGAGGACTCAAAAAACATTTCGGCTATTTAAGAGAGTTTGAAACGCTGCCGTTTTGAGATAGAAAGAAAGAAGGCTTGACCCGTACCTAACCCATATTTATGACTCGTGCTCGGACCCGTAAACACCCAACTTTTATATATACATATATATATATATATATATTTGCCAATTATTTTTAGTTTTTATTAATTTTCTTGTTATCTTATTTAGTTCAATTTTTTTTTTGTTTTTCTTATCTATTTGTTTTAAATGTTTAGATTTTTGAATTTTTTTAAATATTTGATAAGTAGATGAAATGTACATATAGGGTAAATAATAATTAATAAATTAAGTATATTGTATTCTCATAATGTTATTTATAAAAAAAATTTAAGAGTAAATGAAAATTAGTTCAATGATGCAATTCTAAAAAATCATTATTGGTTGATTTTTTATAATTTTTTATGTAAGAGTTTTTTTTTTTTTAATTTGAATAGATTGATGAAAAATTTAGAAGAAAAACTTTAAAAAATAATTGATATTTATTTTCAAATAAAAATATATAAAATAAAATTTTCAAAATACAAGAAAATTACTTCAATAATGGAATTCTTAAAAATAAATATTGGTTGATTTTTTAAGAAATTTCTAAGTGTGGCATTTTTAGAAAACATTAGACAGGTTGATGAAAAATTTAGATAAAAATTTCTATGACAATAATTGATATTTATTTTCAAGAAAAAAGAATAAATTTTGAAAATTAGAGAATTAAACCAACAAACCTTTCCATAAAACGTTAAATAAATCTGATAATGGAACTTCTTAAAAAAAATGATTGGAATTCTTAAATACTTTTGAGATTAAGTAAAGTTTATTTTTAAGAATTCTACCTAATAGATGGAAAAAAAAACCTAAAAAATTCTATTTTATATTTCAATAATAAATTAAAAATAAAAAGATCATTTGTATCAAGATAATTTTTAGGATAATTTAAAATTAATTGGTATCATTTTATGATGGTTGTTGTAAGATGTTAAAATTTTCCTCACACATAATCAAACTTTCAAATTTAATTTTGATAAGTAAATTAGAATTTATTCATTTTAAAAACTCTTAGTTAGCTTATGATATCTTTAAAAGAATGGAGTAGTTAGGTAATCAATTGCAATTAAATAAAAAAAAAATTAGTAACATCTTCTGGATCTGTATCTAGCAATTAAGTTTTTAGATTTTTACGTTATGACATATAATAATTTTTTTGAATTTATTGATTGATTAGTGTTTAATGTTTCTATTAGAAGATGCAATAATTTTTTTTTTTTTGCAAACCCCTACATTTGATCTAAGTTAAATACTAGTGAAATTTAATTAAAGGAACTAACTATTATAGAGATTGAAACTAACCTTTCCATTGTGCACCAATATCTCTTCTAATTCCATCATTTTGTCAATAATCTCTGCTTTGTCAGAGTTCTTTTTTGTTCGTTGATCCAAAAACATTTCTTCTGTAGGTTTAACCTAATAATAGTGTATGCACAAAGTTTAATTTTCATGGTTTCATCCAAATTCAAATAGCAAAAAAAAAAAAGCTTTTATAATACACTCAACATGAATTTGCATACAATTAAAGGACTATTATTTATTTGTTCGTGTCTTACCTCGGGATGGACACAATCAATATGTGCAATATAAGCGCATTCTTCACAAAAATAAATATCATGTTCCGGATTCCTTTCTGTCTCGCACATATCACAATAATAATCTTCCGAATCATCTTCAACAAATGAATTTTTAAGCACAAGTGGATGCAAGTGACGACGGTGTTCAACACTAGGCGGTAGTGGAATGCACTCAACATGTATATAGAAATCACACTTTATGCAACCGAAAAAGGAATCATCGCAATCTTGATGACAAGCATTACAAGATATCTTACTGAGAATGCTCTTCCCCAAATGTAGAAGTTGGTGAGGATGGCAATCGTGCTTTATAGCCCGAGTTTGGTACTTAGCACATGAAACGTGCACGGTAACATCACATTGATTACAGTAGAAGCCGATACCTTTAACTTCCTCCTTACAAGCACTGCATGTATAAGAAGGACCCTTAGGGATCGGTCGAGGGAAAAGAATATGTTGTGGATGAAATGGACTTTGAAGTACTTGTCTCGGCATGTCATTTACACACGATTCATGAATGACAAATCGACAAGGAATGCAGGTATAGATTAGAGTATCATGGCGTTTTTGTTTGCATGCCGAGCACTTGAACATTTCTTTCCATAAACTCATAAAAATAATTTTTTCTTCCTTCGTCAAAAAAGAAAACTTGCTGCGAGTCAGTTGATGATTATGGCTGAAATGGTGAATTCTTGTTTTAATTTGCCTCCTTTCCTGCGGGGCCTTATGAGTAGGCAGCTTACAATCATTTGAAATAGCCATAGCGCATTTAACGTCAAGGTTGAACATACAGTACATACAGCTGTAACTGATTAAACATGCTTGCAGTATTGCACATTGGTCACACACAATCAAGTTGAACACAGTGAATCTTAGAGGGTGGGGGTGAAAAGCATCTCTTCGTATTTCAGGGGGCAATTCAGCGCATGATTTGTGCAAAACAAAATCGGGACATGTTTCACAAATATATGCCGGACCAGAAATGATAACCAAGCACGCAAAGCAGATCACTGTATCATTCTCATTGCCCACCTCTCTAAAGGTCAAGTTGTGATTGTGAAGAAAATGTTTAAAGTCCATGTTATGTTTACAGGACAAAGAAAAAAAGGGTAGAACAATGAAAGAGTGAGGGGATTAATTGCAAGTTGAAGAGTTCTTGAACAAAGAAAATTTGTTGCTTTTAACCTCTTTTCCTTCAACGACGAATGCTTTTTATTTAATTTCCACACATGACTTTGCGTAAATCTTAGTTTAGGAATCAGTCTAAAATGCTTACGATTGGAACATAAATTTGTTAAAATTTTGCCTTTTCTATCTAATTTTGAGTGGTTGCTTAAGAAAAGTTGTATTTGATTGGGGTACATTTGACCTATAATTCTTTTATGATAATAAAGTACAATTAGCTAATTATTAAAAATAATTTTATAAGAGTTCATTATTTATAAGCATAGAATCTACATAATATTCTAATGAATTGTACACATTTTTGAATTACACTAAATTAATTATAGTACAATAATATTTAAATTGAACCATAAAATGCACAAGCAATAAAAATAAACTCCATCTATTTATCTATCTATGTAAATATTCAATTTTCATTATACACCAACATAGTTATATAAAAGGGTGTTATTGCTAGTCATGCTGCTAGCTCTATCCCTTTGAATATTAATAAAATCTATTTCTACAAAAATATATATAAAGGGGCTAACTATCTAATATAGTTATTAGTTACTAATTATTAAAAAATTAACTTGTAAATATTTATAAAAATTATGAAATAAAATTAAATATTTGAATAGTAATTACTTTCCGAAAAGAAATAAAATTCATATAAAGTTTTATATATCTACATTACACGCTATACATCAGCCAATACAACTTTTTTTTTTTGGAGAAAAGGAAAAAGTTTGCATATGATCATTTTGCTATATGACAGGTAAGCACATGATTAGCCTTACACCAAACAAATGTGTAGTTAGAAAATGATAATGATAATGAAATAATGAGTATAAATTAAAGACTATAATTTGAAGGTAACAATAACAACTTTATACTATTTAGCTTATTTATCAAGAATCATCTTGAATATTTGATTCAATGATATGTATATATATATTTTTTCAGTTTAATAAATAATTTTAATTCTTTTTCTTCCAAAAAAAAAAAAAAAAGGTTTTCCACCAAGCGAAGCACAAATTCCTGCCTTAGGCTATTAGAGGCACTTTGCTTGACAAATAGAACAACAATTTGCATAAAGATAATAGCTTCAATCAAGGGAAAGTAACATATTCTAAAGATCTAATTATTCTTTACTATTGCTTTACTTATAAAATATGTGATTCTTATTTCTATACAAAGTGCAGGAATCTTGTCCAACCAGGACCTTTGTTTAAGCGTACGGCTCAATAGCTAAACTTTTGGGAGTAACATATATTGGATAATTAGGATACCCTTCCTCCACCAATTTCTAAACAAACAGACTTACTCTTGGAATGTTAAGATATTAATCAACTTTTTAATTTCCTCCCACAAAGTAATAGTGCAATCCTACAAATTCATCATTTGTCATAATTGAAGGTAACCAATTTTGTATTATGGAATAAATCATTTCTTTTACGATGCAATGAAGTTTAATCTTTGAATTCTTCTTCTTCTTCTTCTTCTTCTTCTTCAAAAAGGGCAAATTCCTGCCTTGACCTTTGAGCTAGCAGAGGTACTTTCCTTGACATATACAACAAAACAATTCCCATAATTAATATATCTAGATCCCTTGCTTTTGATTCCCTTTAACCTCTAGGTCTCTAGTCAATGTTAATCTATAAATTGCGCATAACTTCAACCAAACGAAAATGTGTTATATATATATATATATATATATATATATGTATGTATACATATTCTAAGGACCCAATCATTCTTTGATGCCTCACTCAAGCAAGATTCTTCTAAGCTCATTGGAGCTGTATTAATTACCAAGTACAAAATGTTGGTCTAAGAGATGGATCAAATGTCAAAAATTAGGAAGGACATCATGTGCAGGAATCCAACGATGCCTTCCATCTACCAATGCAAGCCCCCAAGCATTTTCTTGATCAATCCCTTATTATTATTTAACTAGGGGTGTGATTCAAGGATCTTATTGACAATTTGAGACCTAAAGCTTATATTTATAAATTTGAAGTTTAACTCAATAAATTTATAAAGTTCAAATTTTAATATTTACAATTCCTTTCTTTAAGTTGTAGTATCATTTGTAATAAAAAAAAAAAAAATAAAAAAACCTTATATCTATAAACGTTTCACATATCTAATTTATATAAAAATATATTTTTTTTAGTTTCATCAACTCATAGTTCACATTAACTTGAAAATGTAAAATGTGCATTTAAAATTCTTAATATTACTAAATATTAATTTCATTTATTAATTTTTTTTAGTTTCTATTATAAATTCTTAATATTAAGATTAGGGAAGAAAAAATGTGCATTTAAAATTAATTTGTATTTAACAAATATTACTAAATATTAAAAAATGAAAAATATATATATGTGGATTGTCAAAGTTAAAATCTACAAAAGTGTCTGGCATTAAAGATCATTAAAAAGATCCTAATAATTCAAAAACGAAAGCTGTTATTAATTAAAAAGTTGAAGGGAGCAAATCCATCGATCAATGATATTCTGTCTACTGTCTAGCCTTGGAATGAATTTCATATGCCTATAATCACTGAAAATCATCAACAGTTCATCGATGCATCACCAATCTCTTTCGTGCACCAGAATAATGGTAGTTAGGCTTCAGAAGATGCATGATGAATTAAAACTGACCAATTTGAATGCAAAAGCAGGATGCAAATTGGAGATCATTTACACAATTCCTCTTCGCTATTACCATTGAAGCATTGGTAATTGACATGTACATGAACATGTTACAATATTGAAGGCCACTAAAAGACCATAAAATTGTTTCATATTCCTCTCATTACTCCTAAGTACTAAGCTAAAATATTAACTTACGGTTCACTGTCCGAGCTAACCATGTAATCTTAACACAGTGGTATAACAAAAATAAAAATATCCTGAGCTTTGTGCCCACATCTGATTATGAGATAATATGATGCCTTCTTTTAAAAAAAATGCAGGACAGTCCACAAGTTTCATGGTAGGAGAATATACACTAACCTTTTCGTTTCACATCTCTGCAAAATTCACTTCCACAACAACACTGGAATGCCTCTATTGGGGGCTCAGGATCATTAAAGTCAATCCCATAGTCCCGCAATAATGTACAGCATGGCTTAATGCTTAATAGTAAGGAAATAACATATCTTCGCCAAAGTTCTAAACTGTCAAGCAGGCATTTGTCTTATTTTCATATCACATGTTTATGAGTACTTAAAGTCTTAAAAAATGGACAACAACAGATGATAACTTTAAGTTTAGCAAATAGCAACATGATAAACATTTGTGAACCATACATTCCAAATAAGTAAATAAAATAAATGAAAATTTTGTTTGTAGGCTAATTTACCCATGTTTGCTCTTCTGAAGCTCTCACATCTCCGGTAGTAAAAAGGGCAAGCTGTTCATACAAACACAAAATAAATAAATATATTAACTCTTCAAATGCAGTTTAGTAATGAAGGTAAACACCAGCTTGCTTTGCTTCTACCCCCATCAATCGCAAAAGTTTGTTATCAGTCCGATTCATGCATGATAATAATGGCGATCAGGTCTCCACTTCAACTGGAATGTCAATCAAGTTTGCACCTTAAAAATAAAAAACATGTTGACCATCAACCATTGCCAGAAAAGTACAAAATAAAAATAAAATATTGAAGGGAAGGCAGAGTTTTACTGCACAGCAAATTAAGAGGTTATGAGAAATCATGAAAGACAGTTAAAAAGAAAACCAGCATATCATTATGCAACAGTTACAAATGTTAAGTACAAGAATCTACAACAACATTAAGAATTGTTGTTTCGGGATATAACATATGTTTCAATTTCAGCAATAGAACAATAGTGTATCATTCAGAACCCAAAACATAAATTACGGCCAAGGTTAAAGAATTCAGTTCTCCAAGTCAATATCAATTTAAAATGTCCCAACTACTAATAAAGAAAACATATATAGAAGGTTCTTGGCAATATGTCTCACATAACAACTTGCGAGGCTATTGCTACAAAATATAAATGTGAGCAACATTTAAATTCTTTGAAACGATTGCAACTTACGTAAAAATGTAAGCTATTCAAATGATGAATGCCATGACCACGCTAACACAATTTAATAGACATTTCCGTTTCATGACTTCAGCATTTAATACTTCATCAAAGAGCATGCTCCTTTACTTTCCATCTATTATTTGTAATGAGAGGTATGAATATATTTAGGCGCTCTTACTATTCATGAACGTTTATGATATTACAAAATGTACCAGGATTTCCCCTGTTAAAAGGCATCTAACAGTACCAAAAGAAAAAAAC